CCCTCTCCGCGAGATCGCGCCTTTAAACAGTCCCGGTCGATTTTTTTAGCGATCGGCGCGACAGGTTTCTTCGTTATTGTATCATCCGCGCGCCTAATGACGCGCGCATGTCAATTCACGGATCAGACTGTCAATTTGATTACACTTCTTAAGCTATTCCAGAAATTTGTAGGTCTGATCTACATGGACAAAGATGCTGTTGTGTCGTGGAAGGGACCTGGAAAATGGCTACAATAATTGGAGCTTGACAGTCTTAGCCTGATTACCATCGCGGAGCAATTAATTTCAGCGGCCGCTGGTACAGCACTATGCATTTAATGGCGGCTGTCCGCTCGTTGAACAAACGCGTGTTGATAATATTGTCGACACTCTGCCGGCAACTCGTTGCTTCGAAGCCTAAGTGACAGAATCGATTTTCCATTTGGCCGCGAGCTGACCCCTCAGTCCTTCCACCCACTGACTTTAATAATTGCGGGACAACGGTTGACTTAAGAAGTTCGACTCTATACAGCTACTCGTACGATTTGCATACAACGTGCTCCGATCGTCGCAGATACCGTGCATTTAATTATTGCAGCAACGTGGTAATTATTGCCTCGTCGAAGTTAGCGCGAATTTCTACAATGGGAACTGTATTGCGCACATGACTCCTCGGGTATTATTATTATTATTATTAACGCGAGGTCTAGGGTCGTTTGCGATATTACCTATCATGCATCTTCAGTATCCACCAGCGATTCGAGCTCGCGCCTATAGGCGCGGTGAAACTCGCGCTGGAAAATGACGGGTCAAGAGTTCGCGATGTGCGCGAAAACGTTCGCACACATAATCCGATAGCTAAAGGCGGATTCCGAATTTTAGCTTTCTTCTGTTTTCGCTTCCTATTTTTTCGTCTTTCTCTTCGCGACACTTCTTTCCCGATGTGCGCGCATATGCATATTTATGATTTCCACTTTCGAGAGCGACGCTCCTTGATTAATTAGCGATTCCTCCTCGATTATGCGAGGGGAAATTACTCAACGCGCCACGTCGATAAATCCGTCGCAGCGACACGCGTCAAGGCGTCCCAGCGCGTCCTCAGCCGCGGTGAGTTTCGAAAGTGAAACTGGCGTTTCAAAAGTGCGCCACGCGATTATTACTGAGCTGCTACATACGGCATTAACCCTCACATATTTAGGGTATCTTTCCACATAACGCAAAAATATTACACCAACGTCAAGCAAGGAGCATGCACTTTTGCATAACGTATAATGCACAATGAAATGAAGTAATGAAAGTTCTTCGTTTCTATTGTGGAGATAGAAATAAAGGACTTCAATTGTTTCATTTTTTTATACGTTGTACAAAAAAGTCTATACTTCCTGCTTTAAACTTAACAGGCTTTTAATTATGTTGCTAAAGATAATATTGATATTATCGTGAGCTCAAAATTGAGATGTAAATGTCACGTTTATCGTAATTCAATTGAAAAACTTAGATCTGAATAAAAATCTGAGTATCCACAAGTTTCAAGTAACAACTATTACGAGCCTCAAATATTTTTTCAGAGCCAGAGTTTTTCAAGTTTTTCAGTTGAATCATAATACGTGTGTCATTTATATAATCGTACAATTCAACTAAAAAAACTTCCATCTTACTCTGGTAATAACTATTAATATGCGCCTAAATTTATATCTAAATGTCTCACTTAAAACAAGTTTCAAGTGACAACTATTAATACACCTGAGAAACACGACACCTGCGAGTCGATTATGGTTCCTCCCGCTCTTATGTATGCGTAATTAATGGACCAACGATACGGGAGGATCACACGTCTATTTTACCGGGTTTAGAAAGTTCTCAAAGCCATCTAGTCGTTGCTTGAGACGTGTATCGCACCCGCGGTTCGTATTTCAAGCGGCTTCGTTGCTTCGCGAACTGATGTGACTGTAAAGTGGGAATTCGGCATTCAAAGGATCAAATTTCTGTTCTATCTGGCTATTGTATCGCGTGAAAAAAGGATTAATGAATATTATATCAACGAAATCCCAAACTGCTTGGAGCTCGAGTTAAGATACTCCCGGCATTCCTCCCGTGAAATTGGAATCTGTCTCGACTAACCGACCGTCGAACGGAAACGAGAGACGCAGAACATAACATCTTACAATGCAATGAGCCGACTAAATGCCGCGATCGCATGGTTTTATTATGTGTAAATCGCCGCATAATTCAGTCAGCATGTTTTAGACGCACCATTTCTATTTTAAGACGCTTTTCCCTCGCGGCAAAAGCGCCAAGTCACTTAAAGTCGTTACCGCATGGAATATATGGAAGAACGTTCAGTATTTCTTTGTGATGCGTCAGTGGTTCTTTCAAAATTTACCTCTTTACATAACATAAAAAAGGCCAATAAGAGCCAAAGAAGATCGAATACTTTCTGAGACACTGTCCTAGGATATTGTGCCACAGAAGAGCCAAAATATTGTCGTTAATTATATTATATACACAAAATAAGTCAACACACATTATCTTTCTGTCTTCTAAAAACAAATGTTATTTTTGCGCGTATATGCTTTTGCGCGAATACTATCAAATATTAAGGTGTGTGAGAACTTAAAGGAAGCAAATAAATAAATAATAAAATAATAAATTGTTCAATAATTAATAAACAATTAATAAATTCCCTTATACTTTAATACTTGACGGAATCTGAGTAAGAAATTGGCGAGCGTCGTGACAAGCGCCGGCTACTGAATATTTTTCACTTTATAATTTGATAATTCCACACTCATTAAACTTCGCATTTGATCCTCTCCGCTAATGTCCTCTTTTTCGCCGTTGCCTTCCTCTTCTTTCTTAGGCACGGTATAACTTTCCTCACAAATGTCAGAGGATCAGCCCCGCTTTATCTCTCTCTCCCCCATCCCGCCTCTCTCTTTCTCTGTTTACATACGCGGGAGCGTTTGAAGCTCACTCGCGAGGGATCCACTCATTTTCACCGGCTCCACGTGGACGGGGGAGTTTTACGATTGACAGTAACGTCGGCAATCTCTCGTGTCGTTTTACGACGCGGCGAAAACGGATTTCCCTCGCAGCGAGAACACGCGTAACCTCCGAGAAAACGCATCGCGTCGTAGCTCCCACCGAGGCGTTTCGACGAGCGACAAGCTGATCGTGGGGGGTGAAAGTTCAATCGCCCACAATCGTCCCCGGTGGGTAGCTCGTGACCTTTCCGGGGCGTAGTCGTTTCTCGCTCTCGGCATTCCATTCTGGATGGATTACAATTGCCCCGTTACGATTTCCGCTTATGAGAAATCGTCGGATCGTGCCGCAAGGCCTCGGAGCTCGACGAGTCACTCGCCCTCCGTTTCGATAATGAACGACCCGGCTTAATTCGAGTCGCCTTTCACGTTACTCGGTCGCGTGTCATTATGAAAATGAAGGAAGATGCATGCCGCCCATTAAACGCGGAAGCGTGATGAGGGGAATCGCGAATTGACCGTCGCGCAGCTCCCGAGGACATCGCGGGCGGGGTACACGTAATTACCAGGCGTGGTGGACTCAATGACGACACGATTATTATTAACCCTTTCACTACTAATTTAGAAGCTCTCTTCTAAATTGCGACGAACATTGACAGAGGGGAAGAGAGGGAGAGAGAAAAGTGTGTGGAAAATAATTCGTTTTCGGCAACGTCGACTTTTCGCCGATTTGTCGGCTGCCCCGTTACGTAACGCGTTTTACAATAATGTTACGTAATTAATATGCACTTTTGGCGATCTGTATGCTGAAAAATAGATAGACGTGGAGATTGAGGTTCTTGCTATTTCGTCTTTTCTCTCTTAAAAGCGTACTGTCTCTCTAGTTCTTTAAAGTTTAAATTTTTCTTTAATTTTTACTTCATTAATTAAATACATTAATATATAATGCAGTTTTAGCAAATAAAAAGCACCAAAAGGATAGGGCTGTGCCACTGATGTACCACTGAGATTTTTAGAAGGACACATTTGTAATAAATAGAGTGATAGCTGATATGTTCTGAATATCAACAAAGCTGTTTATTCAATTGAATAAAGTTATTATTAACGGTAGGATATGTCCCGTTAGTAGAGAGAAGGTCTTTGAGACGTTGGATAGTTTGTAGGCATGAATTAAAAAAGTTTCTTTGGAATTGTTTTACAAAAAAATTATAAAAACCATGTAACTTCCTTGAAGCTTGATTTTCTCTGCATAAAAATATACTGGAAAAGTCTAAAAATGTGTATGATTTATAATTTCTTTGTGAAACGATTCCAAAGAAATTCTTTTCATTCATGCCTAACACAAACTCAGAGCCCTTAATGGGTCAAGAGTGCAAGAAATCAGCCGATTGACGAGCATAAAATAACATCGTGTACACGTCGATTAGTGCCTATCGCAATCGCCGTCTCGGTGGCCGTTAATAGATACTATGATTTACGTGGGAATTATAAGAAATCTCGAGACGAGATTCGCGCACTTGTCGCACGTATTTGCATTTCTTTCCAGTTTCGTAATTGAACGCTGCGCCGGGAACGTGCGTAACGCGTTTTTAAGCGTTCCCCGCCGACGCGAGAACGCCGGCGTCGGAATGCCGTGGAACTGACGGTACCTCGAGCAAGAATCGACGAGTGTCCAGGTCAAACGCATGAACGGGGATCTCGAAAGGGTTAAGCAGCCACGAGAGTCCTCCTCGCCTCGTTCTCAGTTCCGATTACCTGCGGCAGGACGTAACAAAGCTCCCCGAGACATCCACCGAGTTTCTCTCCACTTAAATATCAAAGTTTATTCCCAAGAGCTCCACGTACGCGGCCTGTTCACGTGCGTAATTAAAGATACGTGCTTCTAATTGCGTTCGGGTTCAAGAGGAACATAATGGAGTCCCCGCCGAGTTCTCGCACTTATCTTTTCCTTCCTTGATCGGTACTTGCCTCCTCTCCACCTGGCAACTCGGCGATTTATTATCCCGTTACGAATCAGACGCGAGCGTGATCCGCAGCAAAAGTCTGAAATGCATTTTTAATAACCGTTATTATTCGAGTGAAATTTTCCTTGACTAAAATAATCGGCAAATCAGTGATCAGAATTAATCCTCATGTATAAAGTCACAAATAATATTATCGATTGATGAGATTAATTACAAAAGCTTATAATAGAGGGTCTTGTTTGAGCAAACGAAGTAGTTTCGTAATAATTTTGTGTGCTAAATCGGAATTTGATCTCAGAATTTGCCCATTACACGTCAGATTTCTGAGATAAATAAGGTTAAAGGTATCAAAAATGTCATTTATGCAAAATGACGATGACGCAAATACTGAGGCCAGATTCAGCGCACAAAATTACGTAGAAATCTACTGTCAAATCTCAAACATCAAAACCATACAGGTCTGCGTTATTAATCAATATAGACGCGGGAACATGAAGTCTGGAACGCAAGAGGGATACAACGGGATCGGGAGAATATTTCCCTTTCGACACGCCTTTTCCTTACGCGCAAGATCAAAAGACACATTGTTTGATTTCGTCCTGCGAGGCTGTGTTCCAAAACGCTTTACTCGATCAACTCTATGGAACCCTTAGATGATGAGAGAACAAAGTAAAAGAAAGTAACGTAGAATAACCTAGCATTTTGGAATGGGAAAAGTTCTCTAAAAATGATATATATAGTTGTTGATTTAGTCTCGGTTTAATCACTGCAACGCAAGGACGTTAATACATATATCAAATGATTGATGTAAACTAACCCAAAAATAACCTGGTACCAAACGATTGCCAAAAATTGCCTTATGATACGAACAAACCAAATTCCAAGAGCGTTACCTATTTAAATTTGTGCGGTTCGAACTTACTTCTGTAACTCTCCTTGTAGTTAGAGTTATAAGAGTTGACTCTGAGTATAGTCCACTCTGATTTTCTGAACGATTTGGCTCCGCCCATCTAGTATGTTACACCACATTTTAGAACGATGTTGAGTTAACTCCGCTACTCGGAGTAGAGTTTTGGAACGCAGCCCGAGTGACGCGGCTTAGTGCCGCTTACTCGGGCTCGCGCTTTGTAAACACAGAAGAAGAAACATGAATATGATTCAAGCTTTCCTTTCATTGACGCCCAACAAACGATCACGACTGAAGGGGAATGGCACGCGAAAGAGGAAGCATTCTCCCTGGACTCGCTAGTTGCATCCCAGTTGCATCTCTTTATGTTCCTGAGTGTATTATCGCACACTTAGGGTGAACATTTTTCTGTTCTCTCAGTAACTTTCCCGAACTTTTGAAAAAAAAATTTTAAATTTCCGAAAACTGTTTCCAGCGCAATGTTAGTGACAGAACCGCTGTTTCCTCAGTAACTTTTCTAAAATTGTGAAAAATTTTAATTAATAATCAATTTTATCAATCGATTATATTATATGTGACTATATATGACGATTGATTAGTCTTAATTATTGTTTTGCCGATGATTTTAGTTAAAGAAATATTTAGGGCCGGTTTTTCAATAGCAATTTAAACTTGGATTCAAGCTTAAACTCTATTCTAACAATGTATTTGTTTTGTTTAAATCGAAATCTAAGTCGAAATCTAAGTTTAAACCATCATTGAAAAACCGGCTCTTAGTCGACTTATGCCTAGCACTGTTACATGAGGTTCAGCGTGTATTCACCAAAAACACTTCGAGGACGAGAGGCCGTTGAGTTTCGCGCGATTTTTTTTCTTCCATTGACGTCTCTTTACTGGTCGATTCGCAAATACCCTTTCACGTTCGGTCCACAGCGTTTCCGTGAAGTCCTCGCGTTGAGAAGCGTCGTGTTAAACTATTGAGCATTGTTGTATTATTTCTCTCGACAGACTCTCGGAACACTCGGCAGAGAAATCGGCTAATAAGGAACAGTTTAAAGTCTGTCGGAGCTCATTACACTCGTCGCGCACTGTCCTCAGCTTCCCCGACGATGCGCTCGTGCGAGAGAGAGACACGGGTTTTAATTATGCACACGCGTGTCGCCTGGCATGTACACGTAATTACGTAAAAACACGCGAGCCATTGGTCCTCTTGTATGTCGCGGCACGTTTGGCTCGAAAGCCGGCGGATACGTGTTTACTGTGTTTTTAGGAGGAGAAAATCGCCTACGGCCCGTTGTGAATCTTCCATACGTAACGGTACTCATCGGGGGGGAATAGACGGACGCATTCCCGACTTTCAGTCTCTCTGTCTTTCTCTCTTTCTCTCTTTCTGTCTTAGCTGAGTTCAATACGGTGAAACTGATCGTAAATATTCCATTCAAAAGATCTCATGTCGTCGGCTAGTCGCTTTTCCAGATCAGCCTCACAGCTGATCCATCCCGGATCGGTCGTATGTATAATTAAATGATTCACTGCAATGCCGGCCCGGCCCACTTCTTTAACGGCTTCGAGAAAACAAGATTTAAAAGGGGAATTTAACTTTCTCCTAATTTCGAGGCTAATTCTTTTCCCCCCGCTATCAATAAGTCATTAGACTGGAACAAATGATTTGCCAAAATTAGAAATCACGTACGTCGAGTTTTTTCTTCTTTCTCTCAGGATTCAGCTATATGCTCGTAAACTTTACAATATTCGATAATCCAATGAATAAGACGCGTGAGTTTGCCTAAACAAACCAATTCTTAAAAAGGTTTCGACTCGCGCGATTTCCAATTTCACCCATCCAAACATCATTCATCCGCATTCCTCAAACAACTATTTAAAGACACGTGAAAGATGTTTCCATTCTTTCAACATCTCTTAGACGTTTCACGGTCTTGCTTATTTAAAACATGCCGTCTCATATCATGCTTTAATCATTTGCATGTTCGTTGCGACAAGCAAAAAATATTGTTTAACCAATAATAAAATTACAATTTGATTTACATACACGGAGAGAATATTATAGTTTTTTATTTATATAGATTCTCTACAACTTTAATATGTTTTTAGTAATGTGCAATTTAAATATATTTCTAGTAATATACAAAGTAATTCTATAGTAAGTTTTATTTTTATATAAATTCTTTTCAATTTTTTTCTGAATCTCAATCTTGCTATAGTTCTAATGTAAAAATTCCTGTCAATAAGATCTGCTATAAAGACCGTCAATTACTGCAGAATGTCGATTTAATCCTTGATTGCAAGGTTTTATAGCAATTTTTACTGTACATTTCCCTCCATGTAATAAATTGACAATACATTTCAATACGCATTGCTTGTTCGCAGGTATATATAACAATTTTGTTAGCGGCGTCTTGCTGCAACCTGGCGAGGTCTCAGCAGACCGAAATCTCGGCCAAGGCCCTCGAGATCGCACCTGCGCCGGTAAAGCTCGACAAGAACTTGCGGCAAGCGCTGCTGAAGGCTCTGACGGATCTGGAGACCGAGTCAGCGGAGCAACGCAAAGATGAGGATGACAAGTCGCTCGTGGAGATGTCTTTCAGCGACATAGTGAAGAAGAACATCGACGCAATACAGAAGACTACCTTCTCGTTCGACGATTTCCCGGGTGACGAGGAGATACCCAACGAAGAGAAGCTGCAGAACTCGAGTTTCGTCGATTTGAAAAAGTACGCGGTTTCGTCGAGCTCGCCGGAAATGACGATCGAGAAAGCGAGCCACGACGATGCCAGGAGCTTCCACGTGCACAACGTAGTCGTGCCGGACGAGAAACCGACGTACACGCCGCGAGCCGAGCCTAAAATGGACTCGGCTGAGCCCAGAAACACGAAGACCTCTGCGAGCTCATCTTCAGTAAACAAAGTCATCGAGAGTATTACACTGAAGCCGATCATCCAGGTGTCGGAAAGCCTGACGCAAAGCGCCAGCAACGGGATCGCGAATGCCAATTCATTGATCGTGCCGAAACCAACCGCGTCTAGTCCGACGGCTCCTCCTAAGAATACTACGTCCTTGTCGTCCAATTCTAACAGAGAGGAAACTCTAACGGAGGAGGTGAAGATCTTCCAGGCGCCTTTGGTGGCGGCTTTCACGGTACAGCAGGATGAGCAGGGTGTGCCGAAGAGTGTTGTGCCGATCTACAGGCAGACAGGCGATGGCCAGGCTCTGACTCTTCAGGAGCAGCTGGAGTTCAAGCAGAAGCTGCTGGAACAACAGCTAGTAGAGTTGCAGCAACAGCAGATCCAGCAGACGCAGTTCCTCGTACGGCAACGTCAGCTGTATGAGCAGCAACTCATACAGAAGCAGCAGCAACAACAGCTGTACCTTCAAGAGCAGGCGAGGATCAAGCAGCTGGAGGAGCAGGCAAGAATCAAGCAGCTGGAAGAGCAGGCGAAAATCAAGCAACTGGAGGAGCAGAGGCTTTATCGTCTGCACCAACATAATCTGTTCCCGGTGCAGAAGCCGCACATCTTCGAGCAGACGAATACGTTGGCTCTTCATCCACCTACCGCGGAGCCTAATGTTCACCTACAGCCAAGCGTAACTCTAGAAGTTCCTAATGCCGTGGCACCGCCGTTGTTCCGCACGCCCATCTATCAGGAGCAGCTACATTTCCAGCTCCGCCAACCGCCGCCTCAACAACAACAACAACAACAACAACAGCAGCAACCGCAACAGCAACAGCACCTGCAGCGGCTACAGCAGAGCTTCGGCTCTTTTTCGAATGACTTCCAGCTGCCAGTAGCTCCAGCCACTCGATTCAACCGGCAAGAGGCTTTCAACGCGGTCGGCAACTTCGGCTTCAACGTGGAGAAACAGCCGCCACCGTCCAGGAACACGTTCAACTTCAATGCGCCGTCTCCGCCGAGGTATCCCAGCACGTTTGTTTACAATCCCTACGTGCAATTCCGGCAAGTCACTCCGTCAAGACCGCAAACGCCCGCCAAGCAGATCCAGCGTCTGCTCTATCAGTCGGGAGTGGCCGGAGAGTTGGGCAACGTTCCGGGCTCGGGCGGTCACGAGGACCTCAACATCGTGTCGAAGGTACTAGCGCTGAACGTGGGTGCGTTACCTAACAAAAACTACCAGCAGTTCAGCACGAGTAACCGCGGCAAGCTGGCGTGAACGTTGGGCGGATTGGCGTACCGATGTAAGACTTGGACGAGTCGTGTAAATTGCTACAGGACGATATTAGCAAGGTGAAATCGGGCTCTCTCTCTCTCTATTTCTCTATTCTTCTGTTTCTGTCATCTCCCTCTCCTCTTGCTTCATTTGCTCTTTCGTACTTCCCGTCTCGACGTATTCCTCACTCCGGTATCGGAGATAATATCTCGCGACCTCATCATCGATAAAATTGCAACAGCAAAGTTCACATTGATATGCATCACTGCTTTAATGAAATACTGAAATGTCTTCGTGTGTCCCTAGATTTATTGGTAATTTATACAAAATAGCTTTCACTAGATGATACAGTTATGAGGCAATAGCGAAATTAACATACCTTAGCATCCCAATACTAATTAAAGTGAAGATAACAATTTAATCATTTCTGAGATCACGCGTCCTCATTATAGATAAATGAAATCTGGAAACTAGAAATTTATACACAGAAAAGTTTCATTCTACTGCCAAAAAAAGGGTTATATGATTTATTTTGTTTTTTTTTTAGTAATGGTCATTATTAAAAAAGAATATTTTCTTGATAATTATCTTAACATATATTCTCTAGTATACACCAACTAACAATAACATTACATCAGTATTATAATTTCTCACTTAACAATGTAACTATTATGTACAATATGTATTACATCTATATTAATCTTACATTTATATTACTGAAATTATAACTTTGTAATGTTACTGCTAGTTGGTGTTCACTGGATTATAGTAAACTTTAGAAAAACTTTTTATCATATATACAAAACAAGAATGTTTCTTGTTTACAAGAATATTATAACACTTTCTCGAGGAAAAAGTTGGTTAGGCTCTATATAGCAAGTAGATTGAAATTTTCTCTCAATTTAATATTCTTGGTTGAAATGTTGAACTTAATAAAATTCAAAATATATTTCGAGGAAATTTGATGCTCATGACGAACTTATAGATTTGCTGATATGCAAACTTACGAAATACTTGAACGAAACATTTTTATATTTTAATATGTTCGAACACGCGCAGTACGTCACTTCCGTATGTATACATTTCCAAGTCTGGCTTCTCACTTCAAGATATTTCAGTATTAAATTAGAGCAACTTGTTGCACGTATATATATACGTAACAGAGGTCGTAAGTTACTCAACAGCCACTGGGTGGGCACTTTTCGTGACGACGTGTCGTGTCTGATGATATCGCGAATACTTAACGGCGATCAATAACTGACGGCTAAGATCTTATGGACGTTACGTCTCGCGGAGGTAAGTGAGAGTTCTTTCACAAGCGTGACACGTGTCAAACGCTATCCATACGAACAAGTGGGCTTTATTGGAGACGTGTCGCGCGCGAATGTCAAACACTAGCATCATCCTCCGTTGTCTATCTCTTCGCATCGGGAATACATTTAGATACGATGATGCGTTTGCGTTGAGAAAGAAAATAAGAGCTGCATCCACGGCGGACTAGTTAAGCCACTTACGACATCACTAGTGCGCACAACGCCGGCAACGGCGAGCGGTTCTTCCGTGGTGGCTTGCACGCCTCCGAAGGAACACGCGGGAGAGAAATGATGACTCGGTGAGTTCAGCGGTACCGTGACGACGGGTAACCTTGAATACCAACAGCGCCAACAGTGAAATCGAACATCGTCGTCGTCTTCACGATCGCCCCCGGCGAGTTACGTCGCCGAACGAAATTTTGCTCCGAGCATCTTCCGCCAGTCTCTTCCGCACGGCGTGAGATAGAAGTCGCGAAGCGATCGTTCAGAAAAATGTAATCTCATCTTCAGCATTACCTTATATACGGCTTTGAAAGGATTCTTCTAAAGCTGAAAGAAAAATATTATAACACTTTGATGACATTCTTACTTAACAGAGTTAAATCTGTCGCGTAATGAAATGAAAATTTTATGAAGTTTCACAGGTATCTCTCAAACTACTAAAAGATGTCTTGAAGACGCGTTCAAAAGACATAAGAAATGGAACATCTTTTGGATATCTCTAAGTCTTAAGCGGGGTCTATAATAGAAATTGTAGAGTCGTAAGTCGTAGAAATTGATTGGTCAATTTCTACGACTTACGACTCTACGATTTCTATTGTAGACCTCACTTTAAGTCTTTTAGTACATTATACTGTCTGGGTTGTTTTTGAACATAATATTCAAAACAGATATAATACACAATTGTCTCATAATTCAATTACTTTTTTCTGTATTTCAATTATTCTAATTTATATTCACTCTCGTGTTTGTACTTTATAATATCTTACATAGTTTACGTTATCTGCATAAAGAAGGACCGTGTATACGTCACGTCGACAATCGTAGAGTAATCTTATGAGATATGTGGCACAATCCTGCTGTTTCCTGCAATTCCACATTCTAAGTGAAAACCTTTGCCGACAGATTCAATTTCTCTTCTAATGAAGAGGAATAATTGAATAGCGCTGAAAATATTTTTCCATTGCCTTTAAAGGAATCCTATCGAGGTCATACGTAAAGAGCCTTCGCTAAGAATGAGATTCTGTTTTCCGGATGATTCTGTTCGGGGCCGGAATCGACCGCGAGCCGCGGGAAGAACCGTCTGCGCTTTAACGAGCGTAATGACATTAATTACAATTGTGTGTGTGTTGCTTTAAAGAAAAACTCGTCGGCGGTAGGCAACCTGTCTACCTGCTCAGGATTACGCAAGCTCGACTTAGTTGCGACATTGACGAGCATTGTACATAACTGCGTTACGACTTCACTGCTTCCTTTATCCCTTTTCGATCCCGCACTTTTCTCTCATCCATTACTCTCGGTACAGCGTTCGCGATGGTTGCCGCCGTCTCGGCTTTGTCGGTCAATAAATCGTAAGAACACGCTCAATCGCAATGAAAGCACGTATAATCGTGAACGAAAGGAAGGAAAGAAGGAAGGAAGGAAAGAAAGAAAGAAAAAAGGAAAAAAATATGAAGAAAAAGAAAGGCGAATCGTAATCCTTGAATAACCGTAGCGATAAGTTTATGTTAACTGAGAGAATTGGTACGTGACGTGAAAAAAGAAAAGGCATAACACGGAGATTCGATTCTATCGAAAGTCTCGCCGGAGTCTCACGTTAGTTGCACACCATCGATACGCGTCCCACTTGGGTTTCACTGTCGCGTTGGAACGGAAATTATTCAGAAGGAGAATTTCCCGTCGGGAAGAGCGTGCTTCAATGTATGCTGACGGCGAGTATTAACTATTTATCTAAGTCTGCACGAGTGCTGCGTTACCGGTAAGAGAGTCGAGGCTGCCGCCTCTTTGACGAGCTCGAAATCGCACGAAGATTCACGACCGAATGGAACTGCACGACTTTTAGAGCTCTGAATATCAATTCGAAACAGAATTGCAGAAATATCAATTTTCTTCAATTTAATATTTCATTTTAACAAGTGTGCTTTTTGAACAATTCAACCAACCATGATTTAAGCGAACTCAATGTTTTATTGACGATCGATTTCAACGAATTTAACTGACGACCAGTCAACTGACGATTGATATGAGCGAATAGAATCGTTCAATTGTTAATTGAACTATCTAAACTTTCCAATCGTCAATCGAGCGGTCTTCGATCGAACTGGTTGAAGTCAATTGATAATTAAACGATCCCCATTTGAATTGATTTACACTAATCGCCAATTAAACACAAAAATCAATTAAAAAAGTAATTAATTGCTCGTGACCCTAATTCGTACAGATTCGTACATTCGAGATTCTTAATATTAATTCAAGTCTGGGTATCTTCGGAATGAAGTTTCGAAAGTGAGATCTGCGTGGCATTACGGTCGGAGAAACGCAAAACAATGGAAAATACAACACGCTTGTACATTTGTTTCAAAGCGTCTTTTGAATTTCATCATTATACTCTGGCTGCTGGCCTATCTGTTCATTAATCTTATTGCTTCTATTGCGCTTTGTGAAGTGTCGAAGTGTCGAATTCGAGTTCGTCAAGAACCACCGCCCATCTACCGCTGATTAGCACGCTTTACGACATAGCCTGTTGTACGTATATCGTTCGAGTTAGCCTTAACACGAAGAGCTTGGGCCGGGATCAGAGGTCCCGCAGAAGTCGTGCATCGTGCCGCACATCGGGGATTGAAAACGCTTCTTCGACTGTAAATAAACTTTCCCCGGCCGGGTACCAACACACAATGTGCCACACGGCCAGGCGAGGTGAGAAGAGGAGAGAAGAGAGGAGACGCGGACACGAGAGACACATCTCGTGTGTGTATATATATGCGCATGTGTACGTCCTCAATTTCACAAACGTTTGGCACAGATTCGTGATTTCTCCCTGCGGGCGAATCGACAAATCTCGCGGATGGCAGGGATATCGGCATCTCGTCTCCTTCGCTTTGCAAGTTTCGGGAATTTCCCCATCGACACAATTGTTGTCAAAGACGTCGATTGAACCGTCCAGCCGATAAACGACATTTCACATTATGTCTAGGAAAGATAATTAATACATCGATCACGAACGTTTCACTTTCGGGGAGAAATTTTCTTAAATCTAATTATATGGACTCAGTGTAGAATATAGTAAAAATAATATAACGACAATATGTTAAGTTAACACATTGATATGTTAAAGATTCGACACAAAAATTTTTACACCAATCGAATTCAACATAAATACAAAGTGTTTTTTACCATATGGAATTGCAGGAAATAGCATTTTGCAATGAAAGTTCTTTTTTTTTTTGGATGTTAGAATATTTTCCCTTTTGATGAGAAAATACAAAAATATTCTTAATAAGATTCTGTTAAAGATAAGATATTCAAATGTATTTTTAAATTTCGAACGTGTCGAAGTTACCTGAAGACATAACAGATAGCATCGAAAAATCAAAAAGAATTCAGTCGTGTGTCACCAATTCTGACCAATTCTGATTTTCAGATTTCAAAAAAAATTCTTCAAAGTTTAGTGAAAAATTCTTCAGAATTCAGTTTAGTGAAAAGAATTCTTTTCTTTTTGTATCTAAAAATGAATTTAGAATTACATACGACTGAATTCTTCTTGAATTCTCTGTGCTATCTGAGAAGCGTTCATTTCTCGTATTGTTCAGACGTCCTGCGCGCGACCATGTTATTGTAATCAATTACTTCTCAGTTTCCCACGCGCGTCACGTCTGTCTGAGATGTGTTAACTCGCATCGGGAAGTGATACCCTTTGCCATTCTCTCTTTCTCGTAACAATGTAATTTGTTGTGTGCGATAACATCGCGAGGAATTTTCGCGGAATTACTTGAACGATGCGAAAAGACAACGCGCGCTCCTTGAAAACTTCCCGATGCGCGTTTATGAATAATGATGAGCGCGGATCCTCTCCTCTCTTATTCTTTATCAGACTTTGTCTCGAAGCTAAAATCGATGTGGGTGCGATGCACTCTTGGCGAGAGCGACTGCGTGAGCGAAAGTTGACGGCGATTCGTTCATAAATGCGAGTCCTTTACGAGCGCTAGCTGAGACTTGCGACTGAACGTAACATTAAAATAAAGTATAATAGATAGTGTGTTAGATGTAAAGGACATATTTTGCTTATAATTTATCTGATGCTGGATTGTATGAAACTTCTTGTATAAATGTTAATAAACTAATTCGTTTACAAAACAATATCACGCGTTATTCTTCTCCAGAATAGAATGTAAGTAAAAAATGAAACTATGTAATTATCGCGTTATAATAAAACGAATAAAGAAAGCATTTCATATAATTAGAAGAATATATTACAGGTGTAAATTTGAAAATGTAAAAATTTAGTAATTTCAGATCTTTTGCTGTAATTAATATACAAATTACATTTTCGACTTACTAGCAAGCGTATGTCATTTTTTGTTTAGCGATATCATGTACTTGTAATAAATTAATCGACGTTAATTATCATTATTATAATTATCATTATCATTAATAGCCCTTTCTCTATCGAAGATAAATTAAATATATAATAAAAATAAGATAAACTCTGCACTGTGTTTCTATTAAGAAGAATAAAAAACTTAAAATTTTTTAAAATCTTGTTCAATGGGTTAAAAAGAGACAGAAATACAAAACATGGTGCAGAAAGTGCAACTAGAACGAGCAGGTGCACGGAAACGTCAAACGTTATTCGCCATCTGTAAACTCAAGAGTTTGTTTAAAAATGACTGAAGAGAAGATTGGTTCCTTGGAAGAGGAAGCTCTGAAGAGAAAAGAACGGCTGCAGGCGCTTAAGAGGAAAAATGAAGAGAGCAAGGAGAACAACAGCGATGGAGCTGAGAGTTTGCCAAAGTAAGTTTTTCGTTTTCGCTGTGCGGTTTCTGATCTAACCTCAAATAACCTCTGAGTCCGTTGAAATTACTCAAAACATTGCGTTTACAGACCGAAATTCCGGAGTTACAAGCCACAGGACGAAAACTTGAAGAACAATGTGATAGAGGACGCTAAACCGAGTGATGTAGAGGCTGTAGTCCAAGAACAACTGGATGCTGCAAGCAGCAAAGTGGTCATCGAGGAACTGGTAAGTCATGTGTATACAATGGGTTTGTTTTCTATTGCTGAACTGACTGCACTAGCTTGCACTAGTTCTCCTCTTCCCTTTTTCTTACCGAGTCTGAACTGTATATCTGTTTTTTTTTAAGTTTCTTAAATGTTTACAGTTTAGTGATCAAAAACAGACTTGGTACATATAAGATGTCCTTTCTATATCTATTATGTTGCATATACATGATATACTATAATTTTTAACTCCAGTTGTTCCTTATTACTATTGATATCTGTGATTATCTATATACAACAGCAATTCTGTTTGTTTGCGTAGAACATTAGCAATCTGGCACCCAGGAAATTAGACTGGGACTTGAAGCGAGATATAGCCAAGAAATTGGAGATTTTGGAAAGGAGAACACAGAAGGCTATAGCTGAGGAAGTGAGAACACGTCTCAAACAAGGCCAACAAGACTTGGCAGCCTATGTGAATGTGCCTGACAAAGGATAGGACTGCCATTATCGATGAATATGTATATTTTGTAATAAATTATATACTTTCATAGACTATATGCACGCGGAAGTATCTTGAATGACAACCAATATTGACTTGTGCTAATTACTATAATGTGAAATTTCATTATTAGCATTTTTATTTCAATTGCACTTTTATTATATAGTAAATTGGTTCTTTGTACATAAAATTTTTGCGAGCGTGTACACATCATTACGCAATTGCAGCTTCGACTACATTACATCTTATCGAGTCAGTCAAAAAGTTCTGTTGGATCTTTGAATTTGATTTTATTGTATTCAACGAAAATCAATTATTTATCAGCCGTGTTATGAGCATCGTTGTCTATGATTTTTCGCCTGCCATTTTTCTGGCAGCACTCGTTAAAGGTAGTTTTTATTGTAGAAATAGTCGGTTCACCGTTTAAACCTCGTCGAAAAAGATAGGATCAAACTGAACTTTTGACTGATACAACACTCTAACAACTATTACTACATATCAGTCATAGTTATATTCTACCGCATGGAACATTTCAGTTGCGTTTTGGTGTCACGTTCTTGAGCTGCTTTATGGCAACATCGAACATACATTAAGATGCTATTAAATTATTATATTACTAGAAATCCAAGTCATCACATAAAACATATCCTGATATCGGTTTAAATGCAGTCCGCACAAAGCCGTGAGGATTCGCATCGGAGCATTCATCCAATTAAACATCTTAATCCTCCTTCAATATGGCAAGATTAAACATAATTACTCCTTTTTCCTTTACTTAATATTTGATATTCATAAGCTTATTTAAGGATTAAAATAATAATTGGTGAACGCTGTTGACTAGATTACGTTCTGTTAGGTCTTCATACGGCAAACAAGAAGATTCCCAATATAGTCTGCATTGCCATCCAGGGAGACGGTAGCCTCTTACTACATTGCCCGGAATTACGTCTTTTCGGAATGTTTTGACGAACTAGTCGGTCATTTAGAGGCTGCGGCGGTCGGAAGTTATGGGTCATATCATTACCATCAGAAGTCTTTATCATGCGGAAAGCAGATAACTGAAATGAAGTAAGAAATATTGGTTGAATCATGTTAGTAAGAACACGTTCTAGTTGAAGTCTGTACTAAGACCAAACTTGGCACTAATTTGCATAAATATATCTGTTAATTTATCACGTATTTTGCTTGTGGTTTAATTAAGGAGAAACACCATGGTAGAAATTAAAAAAAAAAGCATAAGAGAATCCAAAATTCAAAAATTTGATTGATTTCGACCAAACCGAAAAATGAAAATTTATTGAGTTGTCCAAAAGTGAATCTAATGCTAAGTTAAGTTTAACCTTTGCACGTTAATTTACGCGTAATATCGTGATAATCGAAACTACATTCAATAGTTATATCAAATGCTAAAATACCTGGTTTCTGGACAAATATTTGGGCATCTTGAAGACAATCCATATGACAGCTTCCGTGCAAGGTGGAGTGGTTAGTGAACCCGCGTACGTATAGTAACCCGAGTTCGGCTTAAGCAGAGCTGGCAAGTCGAATTTGGATATTTTCTCTTCTTTCTCGTCCAGTACTCGTGATACTTTCACAATAGGCTCAAGTATCTTATTAGATGAGGAAACCTGCGCAATTAGAATCAAAACGTTAATCTAAAACATCAGTTCCTCTTGATGATAAGTAGATAACATCAGTTATGCAGGGAACAAGATAGATAAAGTAACTTGAAACGATCACCTAATGCAGAAGAAAGAACAACATCTATTTATCTCATATTCTTTTGGCAATATATATGGAGAGGATCAACACGATCTCCTCGATTCTCTTACATCGAATAGATATCCCAAAACAGTCAGACCATCTGGGTAGTTAAGAGCATTGTCCATCGTTTCGTACTTTTCGTTGACAAACACGGCGTGCATCTCCATCGGGAATGACCGATTATTAATCGTAGTCTCGGATCCCTCGGAATCGTCCTTGCCCCAGTGAAAGTGAAGCTGCTCAAACCTGAAGGTACTATTTCCCAGAGGTCCTCCCATTGCTCGTGGCAGGTTATCAGAGGATTCGCTGGACTTCAGCATGACTAAACGGGAGGAGAAGAAGAACGGGAGGAGAAGAAGAACGCTTACAACAGGCCAATTATCGCGATGTATCAGCCTCTATACAGTATCTTTTTTATGTAACGTAAGTGACCTCGCAGGAAGAGTATCTTTCGAGTATCTCTCTGCACCTAACGTCCGATTACGTATTAACTTGATTAGGTTGTTCATGGCGCGTTTAATCTTCGTCGAGAGCCAGCGGTGTATATCGTTCGCGTGCAGTTTTTGTCTCCCGCCGCGCGTTCCTCCGTTCGACACTGGCGCGCGATTTATTTGCCATTTTTACGGAGAATAACGATAATCGTGCAGCGTAAAGTCACTTTCCTCATTTCGATCTCTCGCCGATTACATCACGAAGAGATGGTTTTTCTCCATACTTCCGATCTTCACGAACACAATCTAGAAACACAATCGCGACGAAAAACAGCCACGACTACGTGCGACCGCGACTAAACGTATGACGAAACCGGATTAACGGAAGCAAATCGGCGTAACATTGTTTGACACTACGTAACGGTACTGAAAAAAGATTAAGAATGAGAGAGGGGAGATGGAAAGGTTCTTCGCAACATTGAATTGCAATGCAGAAGAAAGATATCAATCAGGGTCATGTAAGGCGATGCACTTAAACACCGTAAAAAGATCAAGAAAGAAAAGGAAAGCTCTTCGATATAACATTGCAAACTTAAGAGAGAATAACCAGCCGGATCGAAGGTACAAATTTAATTACGCGAAGATTTGCAGATCTAACTACATACAGAAAGATATATACTGCATTCAAATAAACGTTACTTGTTTTGAATATTTCGTAAGTTATCTCATATAAGTTATATACCGCAAATATATCATAAGTTTTATTCAAAATGCACTCTGAATCCTAGTAAGTTTAGAGAATTATAATCAAGAAAAATAAATTAAAGCAAAAATTCGGTTTGCTTCCTACGTAGAGTCGAACCAATTTTATCTTCAATAAAATTCTAGTGAAAGAAATAAATTATTCTGTTTGATACGATAATGAGCATACGATAATTTTCTAGAAGTTGTAACGAGTATATTTCGAGACTATTATCAAGAAAATATTCTTTGTTGAAGATAAATATTATTTGAAAAAAGGCAAGTAAACTGAGCAATTGTTTATCTCAGCAACAGAATATTTTTCTGCACGTAAAGTGTTCCGATGCATTTTGAGCACTTTTTAACGGCAAGAGCAATAATCACGTGCATATATTTCATTTACGTTGCATCACGTAGAGGAAAGACATGCCAGCGACTATCGACGAATTTACGAAATAATAATATTTCTCACTTGTGTGTCCATTATTCACGACGGTCATGCTGTATTTTTTATTAGGGCCGCATATTTCCAACGGCGGCATATTCTCGGTCTTGACAGTTTTGTCGTTTATGTTAATGGGCGACTGGTTTTTCCCCGAGCACATGGGGAAATTTTCGGGCCACGTAGATGGACCTGTGAGAACAAGAAGACAAACGGTATTCGCCTCATATTATGTCATGTCGTATCGCTAGAGAAGATTCCGTCGAACCACGGCAGTTCTGGCCGAGTTCTCCGACTTGGACTCACCGTCATTTTCGTCGTAGCCGAAATGTTGGCTGAGGCAGAATCCTAAAAAGAGAGAATCGTTTGAGAGAGTCACCGTTTGTGAGACATACACGTGAGAAGTTTGATGAAAAGGAAAACGTGCGCACACATACAATGAGTGGTTGTATGAATAACAACGAGCGGTATGAATAGAGCGGAGTCCCGATTTAACGGACGATATGAATAGAGATGAGTGTGAAATACCGTTCAGGAAATGAAGTTTTAACTCGGCCCCGTATCAATAAAATACGCGATTTCGTTCGATTCTCTCCACGTCATATGTGGTATTTGAAACAGACGGGTAAGCCGTTAACTCTGGTGCATAGTAATCAGTGACTAATTTTTAAAATATGCACGCATACGTCAGGAAGTCTTTTGATGCCATTATCTCACGCTCGACAGTGGTATCTTGTTTCATTAGTTCGCATTAATAATACACTTCGAGAAGAAGAATTCGAGCTTAAATAGTTCAGTCAGACTTGTTACATTACAGCTGATAGACGAAATTCCTTTCAACCATCGCTTAAATACGAATTTTGTCTGTCGGAGGAAACAGATTTATTACAATTCGATAATAATACTTTCTCGATAATTACCATCGTGTTCTTCTGATTTTTCAGAACAGATACAGATACAGATACAGATTTTCAGGTACAGATTCAGATTTAGTACAAGTACAGATTTTCAAATACAAAAGTAAAATTCTCCTGTTAATTGTCAAATGAATATTCTCATTTGAAATTAAAGAGTGAATCTGATATGCTTCACCGTGTGAAATATTCTTGACTTTAATCGATCTAAGCGAAATGTTCGCTAATACAAAGTCAGAATCCATTCCAAGTTTGAGTGAAATAATCACTCTTACGATTTCATTATTGCTTCGGGAGAAAATACTGCTACTATTGTTTTATCTCACTTGTCGAAGACATTTCATTTTTTAGGTTACAAATTCGACTTCACGAATGTTCGTTACATTGCAAAAAATTGCATTAATTACCGCGGGTCCAACGAATCGACGATTAGACGCCAGTCAGCGAGTGGATTCACGCGGAAAGAGATCGGAAACGTTCGAATTTGGAGTCTCGAGGAGAAAGAGACAATCGGTCGTTTCCGCGTGCACTTATTGTGCACAGGAACGCTGCTTGATCGTACGCTAATGAGTGCACACGATAGTATCTAACCGGTGAGTCGCCGTTTGTACGTTGAGGCCTTCCGCATCTGCACGACACGTGCGACGATTCTCCGCATTCGAGAGTGTTACTTTCGTTTCGGCGCGTAGCGCCCGCGCGAGGGCCGTCGTCGACGACGTGACGCGTCGCCTCTGGATACCCTTGGACTGATTTGATTTGAGCCGCGATTATCTCGAGTGCACGCATCCCGAGAGCATCCTCGTCGTCCTTCCATTATGCAAGCTCTTCACTGCGTTGCCTGATTACGTGAGGCGCGTGCAAGGAACGCCAGCCGGCCGGCTGACGTCGGCGGAACAACACGATGATCGTGGCGAAATTCTCATACGCGTGGCATCGTGAAGAGAAAAACGATGGAAAACGTCTTGTTCATCCGGCCGACCGTTGCTTTACAGATCTCCCGACCCGAGTCAGGCTGGCATGAGCGGAACAGCCGGGCATCGAGCGACAAAGGATCTCTCTCTCTCTCTAATTCAATTACAACCGTGCTCGATTGATTCGAATCAATGCAGACCGCGCTGAAAAAGCGACAAAAGCCGCAAAAAACGCATAATTCTTTCGCGAACTAATCGAAGTTTTCAACGATTATTTGAGATTTTGGAAATGTTAAAAATCATTGAAAGATGTTAAATATCTTGAAGACATCCAAGAAACGTTCTGTTTCTCTTAGAGAGAAAATACTGTAGAGAGTTAATATTGCTGATACAAATTTGCCGACCTCTCCCATTTCACAAAGCGATTTTGTTGGTTGCTAATAACAGGCCGGTAAGTAAATTTAAAGAAGTCTGATGTCGAACTCCTTCTTTCTCTCTTTCTTTCTTTCTCTTTTTTTCTTTCTCTCTCTCATTAATCTTGAATAATAAAATTATAGCGATCGATATCGTGGTCATCAGAATTGTATGAGATACGCTTGTGACATCGCGTTCGATGAAGCTGCATAAACCGACATCCACTTCTCATTTGATATTCGTTAAATTTAGTTATGAACGCGAATAGTCCGACAAGCTTGACACATCCATGCACATCCATCCTAATAAAAGAAATATAAAATTCCAAGATTGATGTATCGCATAGTTGATCAGCGGCGAATCCAATGCAGATAGAAATGAACGATGTCTTTGTTAACTATCGCGACTTTGTTTACTACGCTGAAAAACAATGCGTCAAACAGGTGATCATCAATTATTCTATGATTCACAAAATTTGTGATACTTGCGAAGAAGCTATCTAATCGACTGAGCCAATCACTCCGATAAATTACACTACACATTCCAGCTGTCGACTCTTCAAGCATTATCATCCCACTGATTGTCCGCGTGTCGTGAAATTGTTTCTTTTAACGATTTAAATAGCCTTCGGCGATGGGGTGTCGCTCAAATAAGCAACAATTCAACAAGTTTCACGCTCGCTTTGAGTATGACGTATGTCGGTAATCACAGAGGAAGCGGTATGCGGTGCTCAAGTTCTAGATCCTTGCCTCAATTATGCTTGCCTCAATTATACTCACGAAGGCGGCGCGCATTTCAACAAGACAAGTAGAAGCTGCGATATGCCCGTTTTTTCACCAACAAGTAGAAAATCATAATGTTCGCGCTTCCCTGGTAACGCGCGGCCGCGTATCGTCATTTTTATTGGTCGATAAAAACTTCGCCGGTGAAGTGTAATACACAAATTAGCCGAAGAAAATTAGTAGCGCGCCGTCATCAATTTTGTGGTTTGCGTGACAAATTGAGAAAATTTCTGCGCATAAAATCAATCGTTTCTTCACGAATTCGCTGCGTATCGCGCTTCTCTTCATTGCTCGTTCAGCTTTGAATCTCGAAATTGAGGAATCAGAATGTTTAGAATGCGAGAAGTTGGCGCAACTAACTAGAAAAGTTGCACGCAGAAAAATATTAATTTACTGCTGACAAAAGTGATTCTGAAGTACCAAATTTATTAGGATTCAAAATTTACTTTAAATAAATTTGACGCTTGTGGCGAACTTGTGACAGATCTGTGGACACATAAGAAATACTTGAAACAAGTAATATTTACTTAAATATAGTATGTATTTTTCTGTATAAATAGAAAAATATCGTTCTACTGCTGAAGGAAGCAATTGCTTAGATTATATTTTTCTTTTGTGTTTGGTTATCTTCAGCTATGAATGTTTTCTCTTGATAATAGTCTTAAAATATACTCATTACAAATTTTGCAATAGGAAAATGCGTACTGCCTTTAAATAAACGTTGCTCGTTTCAAGTACTTATGTGTGATAGACAGAAATTACGAAGATTAAAATAAACAGATGGAACCGATGTTGAAATTAACGGCATTTTTTAATTGTCGCATCGTCGTTGTCGAATACGCTAGATTTTGCGAGCTTTCCGTTGACAGTAGGTCAAAGATTGTGCTCGACATCTTAATTGAGATCCTCGCGTTTTCGTCCCGAAGTATACGCGATGATTCACACAGCGGCTAACCCGATGCGTACTAATGAGCGCATCGCGCTTAGTTGGTTGACGGTGTTCAGTTGTCAACCTGCTATTAGCGGCACGAGAGACGAGTGTAGGTACTCTCTGTCTCTCTTTCTCTCTTTATTATTCAGCTTCAGTCATGGCGCTGATTAACTGTAATCGATTAGTAAACCGACTGCAATTATGGAGCGGGCCGCGGATGATTTTGGCGGGAATTTTGTTCGCGCGCAATGAATCCGACATGTGTTTTACCGTGTGTGGCTCATTCTGTACGGAAATTTTATTAATAAATGGACAACCTACGACCTTAGAACAATGATTAACGTGAACGATGATTTGTGCTCACGATACATCCGGTTGTCATCGAGTCACGATACTTCTGTGCGCCTCGTAATGGATTTCACGTGATGTATGCTCTGCGGGAGTTCACCCGCATTTTTCTTTTTTTTCTGATAATTTTACTATTTCGCTTATTACACGTAATTTGTTGTCGATGCGCGTAATGTCCTCGTCACTGGGACATTCTGGTCGTAACGATTGCGCGCGTGATTCGTGACTAGCGCGACAGCTCGCAATCGGACGAAAATACATAATATCCTTCTGCAATATTTATCAGGATGATGCTCGACCTAGAACGCATACGCCCACGTTGATGGAACTGTCCTGCTAAGTGGATTTATGTTCCCATCACTTTTCTCTCACAGAAAACTTGGCACAATCGAAGATTGTCCGTTTACTAAGAGAAGTGACTCTCGAGAAGTGTCAAATCCTTCATGCAAAAAATGAGAAAAACGAGAGAAAAGTGAGATAACCAACGAGCCAGAGCCCTAATTGTCCCGATAGTTAAATCAAATTTCGACCAAATGCTTTCAAATCTTAGATCAGCTCGAGTTCGAAGACACTTAACACGCTCGTTACACTGAGAGAAAAAATATCTAAGAAATAGTGAACATATTTATCTGTTGCCGCGTATTAATAACATATCTACTTATATTATCAATATAAAAAGTGTGAAGTTAAAAATATTAAAGTTATATTACGTTATAAGTTATAATAATATTGAAAAATCAAACTGCTCTTGAATTTGCCTTAACTATTCCACTAGAAATTAACTTCATCAATATTGTCAGCAATACCAAACGGTTGATAGAAAACAAAAATTTCATATTTTGTTTAGCTTTAGAAATAATAAAAAACTTTAATTTTACAATCTGTGTGTGTAATTTAATAATATTTAATAAAATATTTTTCAAACAAGAAAACACACACAACGCGCGTACGTTTTCTTAAAGCCTCAAGAAAACTTCAGCTTTTCAAGAAAGTAATTGTTTATTCTATTTAAATAGGAAAATTTTGAGTTAAGTGAGTAATATTATTGGCAAATATTATAGACAAATATTTACTGTTTACTGTTTATCATTTTTCTTTCGAGCGTCACATATGTGTGACACACACAACGATAATTTTTTTTTTTTCTATATATACATATAAACAAATCAAGGCCTGTACTAATAATTATTACTTGAAACTCGTCTCAAGTGAGATACTCAGATTTTAATTCAGATTGAAATAAAAGTTTGATCGCATGACTACGAGTACAAATATCATGTATATCATGACTCAATTGAAAGAACTTAGATTTAATTTTGAGTAAATTTGAGTATCTCACATGAGACAATGTTTCAAATAGCAACTATTAATACGAGCTTAAATCTGGTTTATACAATTATACAAAAACCATTGTAATATAGTCTATCGAATAAATTGTGGTAACAAACGTGTAGCAAGGGACATTCAACACAATGAAGGACGTTAGCTTGAAAAATCAACCGACACTTCGGGATGCCAAATTTCTGGTGTTTGTTATTGAGACGGCGCCAAAATTTCACGACTGTCTCGACAGTTTTACATCGTTCGTAGGCTCCGCGACAAACACGCGATATTTTTTTTTCAGCACGACGACCAGCGAGGAACGTAAGACGCGAGCGAATGACACAGAGAAGACGCGACTTCAGAATGGTCTCCTTGGCCTGAAGAGGAAGTAGAGAACCGGCGTTTAAGCGCGTCACTTCTGAGTGATGTTCGTCGCAAGAGAGGGACTCACCCGCTAGTAGAAGAAGACCGAGAGGAGCAGTCGTGAGCACCATCGTGATTATTCGTCCCGTCGTCGTGAAAATTCCCACGAAATTCGCGTCGTCGACAATGCAGCTGGTCGTGGCGGAATCAGCGAAGAAATGCGATCGCTCTGGTTACTGCCGGTGGTAGACTGAGTGCTACGGGCTCGGTCGACCATGTTAAATAAGAGTCCACCGCATCTATTTCGCGACGGTGTGATTGACTCGCTGCCGCGGTCAGGGAGGGACGGAGGATTTGTTTTACGATGAGGACACGCGCGAAGGATTAAGTCGTTGTAAGTTAATCGCCGAGGGTCTAATCACGCGCATCGAAAATGCAAGCGGATCACGTGGACGCGGAGATCGATTTTTATGGATTGTTGGATTTGCGAGGTCGCAATCGCGAAGCGTTCTTTTAGTGTATACTATAGGTCTTTTCGCGAACACTGAGACTTTAAGACAGTCAAAAGAATATAATCTCATTCTTACAAGTAATCTTTTCCAAGATTATTTCCAAGATTTTTTCTTCTTCTGCAATTTGATTTAGGACCTCCAGAGATGATTTATAGTACAAAAGTAGCTCGATGTTTAGACCATTTATATAAGATGTTACATTTTAAACGATATAAGAAGGTATGATAAAATATCTCGTAAACAAAGCATTTTCGAAAAGTTTCTCAAACAAATTTCTCAAACAAACAAATATCATCAAACAAACAAATATCATCAAACAATTGATCATCATCCGTTTAACGTATAATTTTTCAGCGGCGTGTCTGCAGTAGTAAACGTCGCGATAGTTTGAGGAATTTTGTTGTTTGTTTTCAAGGAACACGTAAGATGATAACCTTTGTTTGATTTTGAAAAAAAAACAAAAGGAAAATATTCTAACGCTCAAAACAAGAATTCTAGCTGCAAAGTGTTATTTTTTGTGATTCCATACGGAGAGAATATTATAGTTTTCTTTCATATAAATTCTTTTCAATTTCATTATGTTTTCAGTAGTTTAGGAATAGATCGTCAGTAAGGAATAGATCGCCAGTCTATCTTACTAAAGAGCATAGTAAATTTTGCTGGAAACATAGCAGATTTCACTGGGAACGTAGCGAGTGTTTTAATAGCACATTTCAGTTCCTAAAATATAAGTGGCGTGTAGGAAAAGATAGAGTGAATTACTGAAGAACGTTGATCTATTCCCTGATTACAAAATCCTATAGTAATTTTTGCTATAAAATTCTCTCCGTGTAAAAACACCTTGCATTCGTGTTGAAATTAAAGGTTTCTAGGGGATGTCTTATTGAAGATATGCGCTGTTTGGGAATAAAATTAGTAGTGAGCATTCTTTGCGTGGGGGAAGGTAACGCTGATGAGAGGATGCTGTTTTCTACGCGGAAGTATCTGATGCTAATTTTGCCGAATGTTATGATTACATGAGCCGCTTCTCGTTATAGCCCTCGTAAATGAGATAAGACGAGACTGCGCAACAGTGTTCCTTGCACGTGCGGTGTTCTTGAAAATACCCGACCTTCGCGACTTTCCATCGCTTATCGGATGGTACTTCGTGGCGCACGTTGAACCGTTTACCCCTTCGTCCGTGACGGAGTGAAATAAATGGATGGCGGCTCGGCCATTAGTCGCATGAATTTCGCCCTCGGACATTTCCACGTCACGAAGCAGTGACCTCACGGAACGCAGATTTATGCGTCGTCGCTGCATTCCGCGATACGATTACGATCGTGATCGATTGTTAATTCCCGACGAACATCATCTGACGCAGTCGGGTGGTTTGGCTGCGCAAAAGCGCGGAAGTTGCGCGCAACTTGTAGTAATTGCCTCGTTGCTGTGCTTTGCGATATTTTTCAACTTCCGTTTCGGCAGAAATTAATTCATATTTACGGTCGTTTGTAGCGGTTCTGCAATCTGCGCGCCAATTCATTGCATAATTTATGATCCCATTTGGTTCCGACCGCCAAATTGTCTATTGAAAGACGCGCATCTAACAGCATCCTGTTTTTGCTGTCGAATTGTGCTAATGACGAACTGATTGCTGTGTGTCTATACCGAAAATTGTATCCATCATGTATAGTAATGTTGAAATTGCTCGTAACTATCCCCAATAACGCGTAATGTGCCTCGCGACTTAAGAAAGTCTGAAACAAATGTTCCAGCAATTGAATGTGTCCTATAATGATTGTAACATCAATAATATATTTGTATCTAATATCTTTAACAAAGAAAATCTTTGAAATTTTGTTTAATAATATTTCTTACTGCTAATTTGCAATATTATTTAATCGCCGTTCAATCGTCGAGTCTGTATTATTCGGTAATTAGATTCATTCTTCAGTCATCGTTATGGGAGACATTTAATTATTATATATATATAATAATTAAATATTATATATATATATATATATTTATATTAAAAAAAATGTATATATATTTTTTCTTTTTTTAATTACTAAATGTTAATAAAGACTGAATAATGATAAATAATGGTTTAATATCCCACTTTTGACATTAGATTTCATAAACGAATTACCGCACATCGCTGATAATTTCTGTTCGTGGAATAATGTAAGAATTTACCGTTAACTGTCGAACATTTGAAATTCTAAAATGTTAAGAGTACATGTTAAGAATACTTGGAATTATCAGAAATATGTAGAGTCATTGTAGAAAAAAGCAAATACTTTGAAACAATTTGAATTATCAGTGATTATTTTAGTTTGGATAAGCAGTATCGACATGTCGTCTATACATGACATTATGAGTTAACCACTTCAAAATGTACGCATTATATTCGAAGGCTTACGTTAGAGCAGTAAAACTCGATAAACCAAGCTAAAAGTGCTTAGTCAACATAAGTCGACTTTATCGGAAATAGAAAGGATTTTCAATGTCGATAGAGTGTGACCGAATTTTATGTTTCTTTTCGACGTGTGTTACGTGTAAACGAGGAATTATCTTATCCCTTGGCTTCAATATATAAACATTATTCATATTAACTAAATTGATGAATACACGATAAAGGCGTGCGCGCGAAATAAGGCAAGATAGACGAGTGTGATGGAAACAAAGACATGGCATGATTCTATCTCTGTCATCTGTATTGATTAAATACAAAATATATGTGATATATCATAGTGTTTGTTAGTCCCCCAACTTAATTAATTTTTCGTATTCAGATTTTTGCTGTGACTGCAAGATTATTTTTTCAAGCATAGAAAAATATCGAAAAATTTCGCTGAGAAGTTGATCATATACACCTTCAGCTTCGACTTCGGTTTCGATAATCGAAGACAAGAATTTCTCATCCCGCTAACGGCGCATGTCGTAAGTGTTCCGCAAACGGACGCGGTAAATGTAATAGAAATCCGCGAGGTGCGAAAAACGTGAAAAACGGAAGCAAGGACGGATCACGTTGTCGGTTTGTGAGGTCGACGCTTTTACGGCGATACGTGATTAAAGGCAGCATTTTTACGCGAGTTCTCCGCGCCGCTGCACTGTGGCACCAAAGACCTGTTCAAGTGGACAAAACCTTTTTCTCTCGGAAAAAAGTACCACGAAGCCACACTCCTCGAAATAGGAAGCTATGAATATCCATTGCGAAAAAATGCATGTACTCACGCTTGCTCTTTTAATCATGATGTGAAATTTATATCTGTAATAACGATTTAACTGAAAAACTGTCATCTAAGTCTGAATTCAAATCTGAGTATCCCACTTGAGATAAGTTTCAAGTAATGACTATTAATATGAGTCTATGGTCTCAAGTGAAATACTCATATTTAAGTTTAGAGTTAGATGTGAGTTTGTCAGTGGAATCGCAATTGCAAATATAATTTCATGTATATTACGTTTTAACTGAAAAATTCAAATCTGAATATCTCACGCGAGACAAATTTCAACGACTATCAATACTGACCTAAAAAGCTTCAAAATATTTCATGGATATTAAGCCCATATATTAATAGTCGTTATTTGAAATTTATCTTCTTTCTAAGTGAGATACTTAAATTTTAAAGTTGAATTTTTTTAAAAGTGTATGTGTATGTAAAGTGAGTATGTGTTAAAAATGAAACAAGTTTCAATGATTATTAATACAGACTTTAGTAGTACATTGATACATTAGTATCCTAATTCTAAATAACATTAAAGGCAGGTAAAATTCAATTTTTTCCGATTTACCTGAACATTTTTATCTTACATTTAAGGATCTTACATTTAAGGATTCAGTTTTACTTGTTCTTAATGTTCTTAATGTTCTTAATGTTCTTCACAAGGATACTAACATATCGTTATTAAAATTTATTAAATAGTTTCGAGATCGCTTAGAATTTCGAATTTTGAGTCTGGTTTTATCTTTTTTCTAACTCTATCTTTATTTTGACAATGATTCAGAGAAACGGATCTGTTTTTATATACTTTGAACTTGTCTATATATCAGATTAAAATATGCTAAAGCCATGGGGGTAACTTTTATTTTTAAAGACTTCAAAATTTTGTGTAGTTAAACGGAGCTTTTTGGTCCCACTATGTGATAATCTACATAATATACACCGAGCATGACAATGCGTTATCGGGAAAATCCCAAACGCAATTGAAGAGCTTACCGAAATATTGGACTCGTCCGAATCTCTTTCTCAAATCCGCGACCCTCAGCAGAGATTACGTGTTTACGGTTTTATTGTGCAATATGTCGACTTTATTGTGCATAATGCCGTAATCTCGATTTTTAAAGAAACATAAATTTACGACGCTTTGGAAATAATCTCGTCAATTGGACGTTTTCGAGTCGATTGTTTAATCAGAATATTGTTACCTAAAATTATAAGTAGAGCGACTCAAGATATCCACTCGAGCATCGATTCAACTGGTGTGATCTTTAGAATGATTCTCGTCTCGCGGAGACTCGCGAAGCTCGGACATGGATTTCTGTTTTCTGTAAGAGAAAAAAAAATTCCATAAAATCTCCGTCTTAACATCCTAAATTAATTTCTATTTTTTTGTTCGTATAAACATTCCTCGAGTTAAACGAGTGAACGAGTGTTTTACGAGCATTAATGAAACAACGAGCACGTGTGCCGCGAAATATCACGCTTGTCAGGAAATGGCAGTGCGTTAAAATTGCAACGAAATATGGTCGCACTCGATGAGCGCGATTCTGAAAAATTAGCATGATTGGCCACGCTTAACAATGCACCATCGTCGGGTGGACGGCAAAAGCGTAATGTTACTGCTTGACTATTATCCGCCGGTTGCACAACCGCAACAGAAATTCAGATAACAATCGGTCGGATAATGCGCCCGATATAGCTCGCATATTGTGGCCGTCCGACTATCGATGCATCATTATCACGAATGCGTTTACTTATACAGATCTGGTCAGATCTGGTCAGTAGCGATCGCGAAGCGACCTACACTGTAAAAAATTTGTGTAAAATTACATCTATTATAGTGGATAATTTTGAGACCAACTATTATAGATGTAAATTTACACACGTAATTATCGCATAAAAATATATTTATATAGACGAAAGACACATTTTGATACGTGTGTAAATTTACAACTATAATATTTGGTCTCATAATTACATGGAAATTTACACAAATTTTTTACAGTATATGATTTTCGACAAAGAAGTCGCGAAGGAAATTCTTTCTGCTCGAAACGATGAATAAAAAATGATGGAAAATATTGGCCTTTCTTTCTAATGATATTTTCGCATTTCAGAACGCATTCAAGACAGCACACACTTCTAAGGAATGTTTTAAGAAATTTGTGAATGTTCTGAGGACGTCCTTATCTCTTCAGGATGTTCCCACAACGTCTTGAAGACGTTCTTTGAAAGGTCTGTAAGGCAAAATTTCATAAATAAACTATTTTATAGATTATCATTTCTTTGTAAATAAGGATATGATAATGTATAATATAATTTATTTATGAAATTTTTTCATAATCAATATTTATGAAATAATGGGTGGAAAATAACGGAAATACCATTTCTGTCTAATGGTGATTCTCTACCTCCTTCTTAGAACATTTCAGGCTGCTGGTCCCTTGCATTGTCTATCTTTTTTTAATGACATCACAAGCGAGAAAATACATGTTAAAAATTTTTGCGAAACGTTGAAATAAAAATATATATCCATAAAGTAACACATGCAATCGATTAAATAAATTTGTAAGATATTCCGTGTACTTCCCTTTTGCTCTAACAATCAGTAATTTATTGTAAATTAATCTGAATAGAAATAGGCGAAGAAATAGATTAAGATGAATTATATGTCACGTTAATTTACGACAAATTATTGATTGTTAAAGCAAAAAGAGAGTGCACGGAATATCTTACAAATTTGTTTAATCGATTGTAAGTATTAATTTATGGATATATATTTTTATTTCAACGTATTTTGTGCAAGAATTTTTAGCATGCATTTTTTCGCTTCTGACATCATTAAAAAGAGATAGACAATGCGAGGGGCCAGGAGCCTTAAACCAACTTACAATCCACTGAAAAATCTCATGCAATATATTTATAATCAGTTCGTATTTTTAAAGTCTAATTTATGAAGTAACCTTGATTTAAATGCAAAAAATAAAGGATATTTTAATCTTATATTATCCTTTAATTTTAATTAAATTCTGTACTACATATTCATAGGGAAATTGAAAGAGAGAGAAGTTCTCCTGAGTATCCAGTAAAGTCTCTTGGAAATATTAAGTTAACAGACTAGTTAAACTGTTTATCGTTACGTTGCGCGCGATTGTTTTCTTTTTCTCTAAATTTATTCCTTACTATGATAAGAAGGAGAAAATAATGAATAAGGTTTCAATACATATATTCATTACATATATTTTCAAATACATATTTTAGATAATAATTTACTCTTTAATGGTAATTTTTAGAAGTCGGGACAACGATAGAATTGTTCCGGCTCATAATAATATGTAGAAGTAAAATCTCATCTGAAATTAATTCAAAGAGTTTAAGGTTCCTGGCCTCTCGCATTGTCTATCTCTTTTTTAATGATGTCAGAAGCGAGAAAACATATGCTAAAAATTCTTGCGAAATACGTTCAAATAAAAAGATATATCCATAAAGAAGCTTTAAATGTGTTCTGAGAAAGAAGTGCAAAATCACCATTAGACAGAAATGGTATTTTCTGCCATTTTCCGTCCATTATTTTAATCAGAGATAATCCATAATCGATGCTATAATCTCGCGACACCGCTGGCCATTTGTCGTGATTCATTTCTGTGCTAAATCATTTCTTATCGCGTGACGTAAATATAAATTTTATCGAACTGCTAAATAAATATCACCAGATATTTTCTCTGTACAGTTGATGAACGTTTGAGAGATTTATTTATTTAACGGCTGGGTAAGATTTATTCCACGATAAAAAATTGACAAAGTGTATGACACAAAATCGACGGGAGACCATCAATTGTCAATGTTCGTCGTTTCAGTGAGCCGTAATGATCTTACATTAGCTTCATCGCGAAATATTGTTTCCTTGAGTTAAAATTTAACGTCTACTTAATTGGATATTCGCAATTTATAGCGGCTTTTTAAAATGTAAATTTGAATTAGCGCAAGCTCCTACATATGATAATGGTCTCGCAAGGTTATTATCGCCCAGATAGCCAATTCTGCGCGAGCAGATTTTGCGCAGTCTGTCAACAGTGTCTGTAGACAGAATAGCAACAGATTGCACACAGAATTTGTTCTGATGACAAATTGGTGACAGACTGCGCGCAGAGCCTGCCTACAGACTTTGACAATAGACTGGCGGCAGATTGCGCGCAGATTCTGTTTCCTAGATAGGCTATTTAATTCTATCATTTAATTCTATATATACGTTATTAACAGTAGTTTCACATACACACAATGTAAAACTGCTGCAGAGAAGTCAAAATAATTATATTGTACAATAATTGTACACATATACATAATAAAAAACAAAATTTTTACTTTTTAAAATTGTATTACACATTTTTTATAAAAAATCAACAATAATAGAGAAATAACGAGTACAAGTATAAAATAGTACAACGGTTAAATAGCCATTTAAAGGCGTACATATGCCATCCCTAGTAAAAATTGTTCTCATAATTTTTCATACAATTTCTCATATTATTATTTTTTTTAATGTTATTATGTCATTAAATCTGAACGATTTAATCGTCATGCAATAAGTACTTGAAGGCAGCAACACCGAATAAAATATTAGTCTCGTTATGTAAATAACTTTTACGGAATTTTTGTGATGGTTTATTTGAAAATATATCATGCTTCGATTTTAATAAAATTTAATACAATCTGACCGGAATGATCGACCAAATTAATTCGCACATGTAAAAGTACAGTATTTTATTAACATGATGGAAAAATGTCATTATCTGCTTTTTTATTGCAGTAATTTTCTATACAGTCCTTGGTAGAAAATTAATTTCGAATTATCGCCGATCTCTCTTACATTATTTATACGCTAAACGGTTTCATCTATATTTTGCGGTTTAAAAGGCAAACAAACTCTAAGATTTTTCTTCCTTAAACTTTAAGTGGGCAATATAAAGCGCTTTTTATCAAGTGAGGAATTGGCGTAGGTCTAAGACAACGGACGATTATCCAAAAGATGTCTTCGGTTCAAGTTCGAATCTCACTAGAGAAAATCTTAAAAATTATGAAAAAATAATATAAAAAAAGTTTTTTTTTTATTGTATTTTACGAGTATTTATGAGAAAGCGCTTATTTTATGAGTAATTATGAAAAATTATGAGAAAATTTTCTACCAAAAATTTAATTGAACCTACGAAACTACAGGATCTGCGTGCAATCTGTCGCCAGTCTGTCGTCAGAGTCTGTTCGCAGACCCTGTCAACAGTCTAACGGCTAACAGATTGGGGACGCAGATGTCTATGGATCTGTCGACAGATTCTGCTCGAATTTAACAGATCCTGTCGCCAGTCTGCGGGCAGATTGCTTACTGGATATGCTTCCCGCTTTACGTATGGGAAAAAAGGCATCTGCGCATGCCTGAAACTGGTATTCCAGAAGAAGAGGGGATATAAATGTAATATGGCCGATGCCCCCTGCTTCAATATTTATATACACTTATAGTCTGAAAGGTTTGTGCACCGATTTTTTGTAGATTTCGGAACGCGTCCCAACTTCAGAAGAGAAACAACCACTGCTTGACATTCCAGCGCCGCCACTTATTACGAGAGCAGAAGGATGACATATACCGTATATGCCATCCTTCTGCAGTGGTTGTCTCTCTTTTGAAGTTGAGACGAAATTTACAAAAATTCGGTGCACAAACCTTTCAGACCACGAGTATACGTACTGAATAAAAAATGTCAGAGTGAAATACGTTACAGTAAAAAATTTGTAAAAATAGGTGATTAATCAATTATATACCTATATCAGAGTGCAATAATGCCTAAAACAAGATGCTACATTGTGAATGTCGAAACACCAAATAAGCGCATATGCGAGATTTCTGTACATACTTTTCAGGGCCATGTACTGAAATTAGCAGTCTAGTAGTGTATAAAAGTGTGTATAAGTAGTGTTTGTGGGCATTTCTCATTGGCTGACGGGCAGCCGTTGGCTGCACTTGTTTAAAGACCCTTGAGTAGAGACTGGTCATATGGGGGCTCCGCGTGATTGGTGCACGTGACTTGTGCCCACTAAATGGTAATGCTAACATAAGTTAGAGTAAGAAAAAATATTCGTCTCACTCTATTTATTGCACTAGTGCAGCAGTGCAGCGAAAAAGTACAAACCTCGCACTTCTTACGAGCTCACGTATTCACTAAAATATATACTATCTGGAACGCGCGCTACCTGTTGAGTATTGCGGGATGATAGAGAGAATACTTGTAGGTAGCTTGTTGAACGGGCTTAAGGCTTGTTCTACGATACGTCGTATGTTGATGTTGTATGTCGGAGTGCTGCCGATGGGCCAATCAGAGGATTTGTTTTTCGAGACGAGTTCTCCTGATTGGACCTTTGATTGCGTTCCGACATCCGACTCTGACATACGACGTATTGTAAAACCAGTCAAGCGCCCAGCTTAGGTATAAGGCTGAGTTCCCACTTAGCGCGTCACGCGTCGCGTCGTCTGTCGCGGACCAATCAAATCGTCCCATTTTATTGCCTAACTTTACGACGAATAAAATGAGATGATTTAATTGGTCCGCGAAAGACGACGCGCTAAGTGAGAACGCACCCTTAGGGTGCAAACCTATGTAGCGGAATAGCAGAGCACGGAACGAGAGCGTCAATCAATCACGAGTGTTCCGCATTTTTTAGCAGTTTTTAGCGGAACTGCGGAATAATTTTGTCGCATACTGCGTAATATATGCATACTTCTATCATACAATAGACGTGGGCCCATATAACTTCAAATTAAGAAGAACAAACAATCCAGCTGGCCAAGCTTATTAATATTCAGCACAACGTAACTGCTATGCCATAAATTTAACAATGGATGCGTAATATCCCATTTTATAACGTACATATAGAATTAAATGATAGAATTAAATAGTTTATCTAGGAAACAGAATCTGCGTGCAATCTGCCGTCAGTCTGTCATCAGAGTCTGTCGACAGACCCTGCGCGCAGTCTGTCACCAATCTGTCGTCAGAACAGATTCTGCGTACAATCTGTGGCCATTCTGTTTACAGACACTGTCGACAGACTCTGTGTAAAATCTGCTCGTGCAGGTTTGGCTATCTGGGATACTTGCATAAGTCCCGAAATTTAAGGAAAATAATCGACTGTGATTGGGTGAATTTCTTAAGGCTTAAAGCTTACTACACCTGGCTCGGGACTAAAGGTATAATACATAACGCATAAGAAAATAGACCAAAGTCCTTCATTTTCATCATGACAATAGAAAGGAGAACTGATTGGTCATTTTCTTATGCGTTGTGTATTATGCCTTTATGCAAGAGTGTATGCTCCCCGCTTAATACATACTGTTCGGGATCAATTTTACATACCATTATTAAGAAAGTTAGCAGTGTAGTAGTTATATAGAAGTCTGTGGAAACGCCTGGTAACCTTAAGGTACCGGGCCAATCAGGGACGCGCGATTCTAGTAACAGTTTGGTGTGTTTTATGAGGCAAAACGAAAATCACCGGACTCTATCTGGAGATTTTACTAACCAACGGTAGTTGATCGGCCAATCAGAAGGCGCGCACGTGCCGTCCAATGATGATTGGCGGATCTGTTCTGTTCAGTCGCACCTTCTGCACTTTCTCGCGATTTTTCTCACCGCTTCTCTTTCCCGCAGCAGCGGGAAGATATATCCGTTTCCTCCGGCAGAATAAGCAAAGCCGGACGCGGTGCAGTTGGACGCGGACGCGGACGATTAGTTACACGGCACGGCATTGCACGGCGCGACGCGGCGCGGCGTGGCGCGGCACGCAGCGGACTCGAGAGAGCGTGTGTCGTCTCGGGAGAGCGTGCGTGCAATACACTCTCGCCGCGGTTATACATATGTACAGATCGTTGCCGTTGCTAGCCGTTGTCACCGTCGACGTCGGCGTCGTTGTTGCTGCGGTATACGGCTTCGGAGGGTAGCAGCGGCGGCTCGCGCGGATCCTGCGGTGCGCGCAGGGTTCCGCGTGCCTTTATCCGCCTGCGAAATTTGCGTATTTGCTTGCTTGCGTGCGTGCGTGCGTGCGCGAGAAGGCGGCGGCAGTAGTAGCATCGGCATCATCATCAGCAGCAGTAGCAGCTAAGCGGCAGTAAACCCGCCGCGGCCAGTGACAACGTTTATTTTCGATACGATCACGGAGGCCGAGCGAGCGGGTGCGAGCGAGAGAGGCAGAGGTAGGGAGGGAGAGAGGGAGAGAGAGAGAGAAAGAACTCTGCCCTGAAACCGCTCTGCAGCGCGAAGTGCGTTCCCGTGGGAGCGCGACGGAGACCGCCGAAGCAGGTAACGCGCGAGTGCGAGCGAGAGGGTGCGAGACGAATCGAAATCCGTTTTGTACACGCTCCGGACGCGCGGGCTTTTTTTCCGTTATGCTCGGTTCTGCGTGTGAGAGTGCGCCATGGTTGCATGAGCGTTTTAACTGGCAACGAGAGAAAGAGAGATGGACTAAGTGTATGTGTGTATGGCTCGCATGTATGCATGAGAGAGAGAGAGAGAGAAAGAGAGGGAAAAGAGAGAACGAGTGGGTAAGAGAAGGACAGGAAAAAACTGACAGCGAGTGCTACGGAACGAGAGAGAGAGAGAGAAAGAAAAGCCTTCTCGGCTTCGACAGTGAGACCGAGCGAGAAAGAACGCGGCAGCGGGAGCAGTTGGTGGAGTCGAGTCGCGGGGGGAGAGGAGGGACTCTCCGTCAAAATGTCGCTGAAAACGCCAACGCGGATACAGTGATCGTTGCCGCTCGCTGAACTCGGGGCACGTCGTTTCCCTTCGGGCCCTCGAGCTTCGCTCTCTTTTTCCCTCCGTCTCTTTCTCTGCCTTCCTCCTCTCTCTCTCTTTCTTTCTCTTTCTTTCTCTCTCTCTCTCTCTTCTCTGCTTCGTCTCTCACCCGATCTCGCTCTCGACGACGATCAGTTACGGTTGCAGCGGAGAAAGAAGAGATCCGTGGTTGCGTTGATTGCTCACGCACAATCAGCCGGTTTGTTGCTCCGTGTTTTGTTTGCTTTGCCGTCATCCTTATCATTATCTTCATCATTACCACATCAACATCATCAATGTAGATACCTTTTGTTTTCCTCGTTCCCGTTCAAAATCCGTGTTTTTCCTACGGCACTCAATCGTGAGCTTCTCGGTGATCGTCCTCGCGACAATAATTGTTTAGGGTACTGGACGAAATCGGCAAGTTCACCCCATAGGCGGCAACGAACAGTGATACTTGTCGACAGAAAGGTCAACTTGTGAACACACGTCCGATTCCTCCCTCCTCGGCCACAACGGCTTTTGTTCATCGTCGTCATCGTTTATGCCGCGCGACTTGTGAATCTTCTCTCTTTTTTTCTTCCCCCCTTCCCCCCCACAACGGTTTCGTCCTCTCTCGACCCTACGCGACGCCGCGACCGTTAACGTCGGTCTCGCGCCCTGATACTCTCTCTGTCTCTCTCTATCTCTCTCGCTTGCGATCAGTAATTAATCGCGGATTCAATTCAGTTCCCCTCTTCAGATCGGAGACTAGTTCGCGGAGTTACACACGTGCTGCAACACGTTGTAGTCGGCCCGAGTAATTGTCATTCTGAAGCGACCATGACCGACGATCGGTTGTTCAGGGGAAGGCTCGGACAGATTGGCAGAAGATGAAAACCATGATTGCGGGCTGATCGGACTCGTGAGAAACTCTTGAAACCTCCTCGCGATAGTCAGTGCCGAATGACTGTTTGGTGGGACACTTTCGGCGACACCTCGTCTGCGCGGTGTTTTGCTGACTGCCGAATTCTTTCGCGGATTCCTCAAACACTCGTTGGATCCTTGCGTCGACGTGTTCGGCGGTCGTTAACAGCTTGTTCCGTCTCGTGGGACGAGGAATTAATTATCTGCGATTCCGTTTCGTGCGAATTACCGAGAGGCAAGGCGGGTTCGAAAGCGCATCGAAACGAACGGAATACGTTCGAGCAGATGATCGTTTCCTCGAGATATATCGCGATAATGCTCGTTACGAGTACGACTCGCGATGAAAGCGAAACTCTCGCGCATGGCGATGCTTCGTTAAGAGAACGAATCTCGTGCGAATATTCGCTAAATGTCTCGTGCGCTTGCTCGATCGTGAGGACCGTTCTGACGGTTCTGTCGGAGCATCAGTGCCTTGTGTTTTGAGATTCAAGTGCTTACATTCACGTGATGGTTGCGGCTTCCGCGATAGACCTTGTTGCAAAGAATTCAGTAGGTCTGATTGTTGCCCAGGCAAATTCTGTGAAAAGGAAACGAGACAGAAACTTTATTGCTCGTTTGAAAACAAAATACTCGTCCGACAGTTTCACTGATTTATTTGAAAAAATAATACATGAGCACTACTGACAGTCTATTCAGAGAAAGCTTTTGCTATGCTCCTGATCTTTTGAGACTTGCAATTTGCAACACATAACAGTGAACATGTTCACAAGTTTTCCTATAAATGGATAAATAGGAGACTAAATTAAATGCTTCTGTGATATTCTTTTCACAAAGCTTTAGCCTAGCAGATCTCTTTATGGAAAAAATCTATATACTGTATAGGAATTTAAGTAAAATGAACAAAATGCAAAAGGCTGAAAATGTTCACTGTTACATTTTTATATTTTTATTTGTGAGATACATATTTACCATAAAATTGTCTCATCCCATTTCTATGGGAACGTTATCTCTAAAATATGGTGTGACGCAAAACACATATTTGATTATGTAATGCGATAATAAACCATGTGATCACACGTTTGTGTTGCAATCTCAAAATTAAAAAGAGAGTAATTTTCAAAAATAATTCCATAAAGTTAATTATTTACAGGACGCGACTTGCTTGTTTGTTCAACAAGCTATATCCCGTTTATCGTGTGTGTACAAACATATTCGTATATTCGTTATTCTTACATATTGTGAAGAAAAAATTGTTTTTCTCATCTCAGATTTCGAACCAACAAGTGGCTTGTTGAAAAGTAAGAAAATGGTGTCGACTCGTCAGTCAAGTAACATGGGAAGCAGCAGTGGCGGCGGCGGTAACAACGGCGGCGGCGGTGGCAGCGGTGGCGGATCGGTTGGCGAAGTCGTGGAAGCGAGTTCGTTGAAGAAACATCAACCGGGAACGGCCGCTGGCACCTCCAACGGTGGCTCCACCGCTGAATCCCCGCCTGTCCACAATTTGAATCTCCTGAATCTACCCGTTGAGATTCTGGAGAAGATCTTTGGCTACCTAGGTTACAACACGGTGGCTCACCTGCGCCCGGTGAGTATATCGGGTACACACAACAGTGGTTTGAAATAGAAAATACAGAAACAGAAATGATAATAACGTTTTTTAGTAATTACACTGAGAAAAAAATATTTAAGAATTTTTTCTGAGATATTTATTTCTGTGAAATAAGAGAAGTATTAATTTTTGTAAATAAACTTTATATCCTACAAATAAATTTTTAAACATTTCTTTTTTCAATGCAGTGTTTTAGTATTTTATCACTTGTTATTTGTAAGTAGGAATTTTTTAAGATTGTAAAAGAAATTTTAATTTAATCAGCAGATTGCGTTTCTCTCGATTCTACGCAGTACTCCTTTGCGTAGGTTTGCCATCAACTGGATCGCGTCTGCGGCTCAATGCTGAACTCCACGTTTCAGAAGTTACAGGCGCAGATGTTGAGCCGTTTCCAGGCCATCAAAGCGCAAATGCCCAGACGTGAGTCCGCGCGTAGAAACCATCCGTTAGCTTGTGAGTCTGACATCATAGAGACTCTGCACATGCGGCTCACTTTGCTGCAGATGAGTTTCGGCAAACACATCGAGCGGAAGCACTGTTGCTTCTTCCCTGGTGAGGTAGGTACGATCGCCTCTGTCGGTACAAACATACATGTGAGTTTGTTCATGATTGTTTTGCAGATTCTCGACGAAGTGTATCGCATTCTCCATTACATAAGAGTCACTCCAAAACTGGCGAAACCCTATAAGGTCACGGACGAGCTGTTCGACTTGAGTACCATGGCCATGGAATATTTTAAAGAGCACATCGAGCCGACATTACCGGAAATACCTTACTTTGGAGCTGACTTTTTGGATCTAGCGGGAACGTTCTGTAAGTGAGGCTGACACTATCATCATTTTCTTGCGCCATACACGGCTTTATTAAAAGAGACGCTTTCTGCCGTTGCAGCTTCTAGTACTGTGAGTAAACCATTTATGTGCCTGGATTCCGCGCCGTTAAGCGTCGGGAGCGGTAAGACGGGCAATACCAACGGAGAAGACGGCTCTTCGCCGCATTGCTCGGACGACCCGGCCCTTCTGGAGCCCAGCGTATCGCCACCGCAGTCGAACATGGTTTTGCGAAAACGTATTCGCAAGATCAAGCAGGGCATGAAGCGGTACAACAGCCAGTTAACACTAATGCGTAGGGATCTAAAGTGTTGCAAGGCGAAGATTGCCGAGCAGCAAAAGCAGATCGTGGAGTACGCCACTCGGCTGGACGACAACGACAAGAAGAACGAGGAGACGTCGCGGAAATTCAGCACACTCCTACAGGTATTTACACAGGTACATTCGAGGAGTTCGGAGCAACAGTCGACAGAATTTATAATTTACAAGATCTATACGACTTCGTATGCGAAGCTTACGAATTACGGACTTGACACACTTGACACTTTTGTTCTGAAGTCTTCATTTGATTCACGTAAGAAACTTATTTTGTATCATTATGAATACGAATTTCATACAATATCTGTTTCTTCGAATACTTTTCTAAAGTCCATATTAATAGTCGTTACTTGAAACTTGGTTGAAATGAGATATACATTTAAATTTATAATCAGATGTGAGATTTTCTGTTGAATCGTATTACAAATATGATGTCATATATTACATGACACAAATAAAAAATTTAAACTTGGTTCTGAGAATTTCAGGTGAGATAAGCATCAAATAACGACTATTATATAATACGAGCCTAAATCCTTTCTATGTAAAATTTCGTCTTAGAGATCTTAGTGTCGGTTTACAACCTCGTCTTAAGCTTTAAGCTTTAAGCAACTGACCAACCACAGTTAACTATTCTCCTTACGTTTCAAGAATAATCGATTGTAATTGGTCAGTTGTTTACGACTTAAAACTTAAAACGAAGTTGTAGACCGACAATAATAAAAAAATATCTTCAAATAGCATATAGCATGACGTTGATTCTGTGTTTTTACAAATTTATTAACATATTACATAAGCATAATTAAAGTGCATATAAGTGATTTATTGATCGAAGAGTCAAATGTTCTAGACAAATCCGTTAACGCAGAATTCGTTATGCAGATCAATATGCAGTTATCAGAACGATAAATATCGAAATAATATTTCATAATGTTAAAGTATATTTCCATATCTGTTATTGACAAGCAATGATACGGTAAAAGAACGTTTACTTATCCTTGGAATTCGCTTTCACGTTTCAGGAATTGAACAAATGCAAAACTGAGCTACAATATTGGCGGTCCAAGTCACCGGCAATACCGGTGTGCATAGGCTGTGGCCAGTCAATGCCAGTCCCTACGGAAGATTTACAAGCCTTAGCGAATCAAGGAGTGCTGCCGGACACATTCGGCGAAGGGCTCGACTTCATTCCCATCGCGGACGCCCACAGTCCCATCGAGATTGCACCGCAAGCCCCCGTAGCGGTCACGCAATCTCCGTCGACAACAACGGTGGAAATGGCACCCCCAAAGGCTCCCGTGCCTTCAAATGTAGCGTTCAAGCGGAAACCCGTCGTGGAAGAAGCGTCGAGCGATGCCGCGAAAAAGTCACGTCGCACTGCCAAGTCTCGTCAGGTTAAGCGCTCAAAGATGTAAAAAAATCGATAACACTGATCATGGTACAAATATTTGTTCAACCGGTCTCTGGACAGGGGTCTCCTTTTGTGGAAAGAGCAGAAGGAGGAGTAATGGAAGGGGGGACTTGCCGCGACGGTGTTTAAAGCGCGTTTCTTTATGCCAGCAAGCCGATGATCTTAGAAAAGTACAAAATTCCTCACCGAACGTCCTGCATCTCGCGCAACGAACCTCGTTTTTGAAAATTCTAAGCTACGCCGATCGCCGTGCGATTGTTCGTGAAAATTTCTCTCGACAGTCGATTCTCCGATTTTCTTACGGACGGAGCTGTTGTCGCCGCTGACATGCAACGGTGCGCCTCGACGATGATATTCTAAAGAAACTTAGCCGATCATCCGCGCTTTGCTCGTAAAGCAACGTCTAACTAAATACTACTTTCTTGGATTCTTGTTAGAATTCTTTGCGATTGTCATTGCCGATGGTACATCCGAGGATGATGAAAGATTCGGGATCGTGTTTGTCATGCATTTAATGGCGCGATATCACACGATAGAACATAGTGGCGAGCGTCATGTTATCGTGGCGAGATAAAGACTCGCTTTCCATTTGGCTCTCCGATCAAAAGAGCGCGCAGTGGCTGTCGTCTTGATTTTCAGGATGGCACGCGTTTGCTAGAATCTAGACTGAATACCGCATCTTCAGCATTTTGATCGAACAGGACAATACGGTAACGGAGGAAGCGTATTAAGTCACGTAAAGGCGAAACCTTCTGTACAAAAGTCTGTAAGATGAGTTATTATCGTATCTCGGGAACGGCCGATGAACGCATCACGGGAATTTTATTCGTTCTTTATGCCGCGTTGATTCGCGCGCAAAATCGAAATTGAGCCTCAAGCAAGTTTTATTTCGCGGTATCGATCGACAAGTACCTGACAGAACTAACGAAGACTGGTTCACGCAGGTACTGCAGATGCACCAACAACCACCATATCAATTCGTTTTGATTAGTTAAGCCTGCTCAATTTAGAAAATTGGTTCATTCAGATTGATTAGATGCCATTAGGTGCCACGCGTTAGAGAGAGATGTTTTATATTTATACATATATTATATATATATATATTTTTCGTCCAGTTGGATATAATTTTTCTTTGGTATTTGACTATACTTGTGGATCGAAAAATTGATTTATAATACGTGGGCCGGATATAAAATCAAAAGTTTTGCATTTTAAATGCCTGGTTCTAGCCTTGCAGCGCGAGACAACCAGAAGATGTCTGACATGCAGATTCAGGTCACGCTGAAGAGCGAGATGTTGATGAAGACACATGCCTGCAAAGGCGTTAGTTTATTTTTGTGAATACACCATCTCTCACCGAGCAAGAGTTACGAGATGGAGTACATTGCAATATTAATAGAAGTAGATAATTATTTATAGGAATGATTCTATTTAGATAAATAAATTGGGTATTATACCGTTTTTTGTACATTGTGCAAAAGAACAAGACGTCTTTTTTTTCTTTTTGTTGTGTCAGTCAAATCGACGGAAATTCCTGTTTATGTGAAAACACGTCAACCGATCGGGAAAAAAAAAAAAAAATTAAAGACGCGACGGACGTTCTCGCGAGTCACATGTGGATTGAGAATTTCATAATCCGTTCCGGAAGTCTTACGATTTATCTTGCGCGATGAAAACAATTATTGGTACAGTAGGAGCAATTGAAATATCTTATTTGCACCGATTACCCAATTAATCTCAAAGAAGTATAGTTAAACATATTGTGAGTTATTCATGATTCTAGTTATAAAAATGGAAAAAAAGAAGGATAAATATATATATAAGCGCGCGCGCGCTATTATATATTATAAATATATATACATATAGATTTATATGTATATGAACGTATAATGTACATATATGTATGTATATATATTTGAGTGGTATTCGCCACAGAGATTGTCGACGTACCACGTGGAACATTTTAGTTTAAAACTTTAATGGAACAATAAGATATATATAACGATTAATTAATTAATTGAATAATTAATTAATTAACGATAAAATAATTATTAAAATATATATGAAGTAAAAAAGTATATATATAAATATATATATATATATATAATTTTTTATTGATGTCAAAAGGAAATTAGAGATGATGATGATGAGAAACAGAGATAAACTTTAGGGTGTGCAAGTATATATATATATATATAATATGGGAGAAAACGTTGCGGCACGCGCGCATACGTGTGTGAGGTGAATGTGTGATATATACGAATAATGAAGTTATAACTAAATTCGAACTTTGAGGATCTTATGATGTGATGCTTTATCGATTTAACCGCGGGAAAGTGACCTTTATTCGAGATATAAAATACACGTGGGGCGAGTCTCTGGCTGCATAGAAGAGCATGTAAAACTTCACTCTAAATGTGTTTACGTTGTGATTAGAGAGCGCATCACGGGGGCGGGCGTAGCCGAATCGCACGTGTCGGAAATTTCGAAGACGCTTGCACTGTAGTATGTTCGCAAAGTCGCGATCGTCGCGAGTAGCGGCGGCGCGTCGTCTCTCTCTTTCTCTCTCTCTCTCTTTTTCTCTGTCTCTTGATTTCACTCGCGGAATGAAAACAATTATATGGGAAATGGAAAAACACAATTCGCATCGACTTTGTTTTGTCGTTCTCGGGCTCCAAATGGAAAAAAAGAAAGAGACACTTGCGCGTGTAAATCTAGGAACGACATCCGCGCGACGGCCGATTGCATCAACGTCAGTCGGTGCTAATCCTGGTTGACTCGTATCAAACTTGTATTCAATGTGTACCTGGTTAATAACTTTCTTTTCTCTATATTTGTGCCGTAGAAAAGATTACAATACGCCGATGTAATATAAAGTCTTCGCGAATTCGCAGTTATCTCACGAAAAGTCCAATCTTTTTACGGAAAAAGCTGAATTTGCGAATATTTTGCGACATCCATGTGTCGACTCCATGATTCGGAATATTTTATCCTATAATCCTGTTATCGTCTCTACATATGAACGTTCTAAAACTACCGGATGTCTTTCTTTCCATTGCAGATTTCTCGATCGTTTCAGAGTTAGTTTTTCTCGAATGAGAATGTCTTGAGATGATTATAGTTTTCGGATAATTAACGAAGACGCGGGACTTGCGACAAGTTAAACTTTAGAAGGGAAAATTATCTGGTCAAATCATATTTTTCAATTTCGAATGGAGCTTTACTGCAACAAAATTTTAATTCGTGATTTATTTACAGAGAAATGCGCGATGTTAGGAGTCGGGAAGATACGATAGATGACGATTTTCCTTGATACATATTTACTATATGAGAAAATCTATATGGCCATCCAACTGGCCAAGGAAACTGCGATTGAGAAGACATCCGGCGGTTTCAAGATATTTCGCATAAAGAAGAACGGCGAGTGACTAATCCAGAACTAATTAACTCACACTGTTGGAGCAATCCGTGCGAGAGACGTGAGAGACAAATTACATTCTCGTCTGTGTCGTTTTAGACGAACTATAACTCACGACAGGAATTTACTTATAAATTGATTTTACGTGCGGGCCAATTTAAAAAAGATATTTGACGATCTACGTACATATACACTACGATCTAGATACATATACACTCGTGTACACGTATATGTATATATGTCTAAGTATATAAGCACATAATTTAAATAATTATTCTAATTCCTCAAGTGTTTTCTTGCAATCAGAACTATTTAGAATTCTGTCGTAGATTTACAGATCGTCTAAAGTGAAATTAGTCGACCTTAACCCAGGATCAGTCGATCATCTAGGGTCAATGGAGGGTCAACGTTGTTTCATGGTAACCCCGTTTAACTTCACCCTCTCTTCGCGATCTACGTGTTAATGGAATAGAGGACGATTATGTAAAGAGGGCCGACTGTAGATTCGCTAATCGGAGTTAGTCGACCGGGACTGTTGGTGCAACTCAGCCTAAACCGTACCTCACGCACACCCAAACTCCACCATCATCACCATCATAATCACCACCACCGAAACAAACGTTCGACACCTCGTCTTCAACACGACGTCTGCACCTTCCCGCACGTCGTCAGTTACCTGCAATTAATTGTCGTCTCTTAAGAAAGGAAAGAAGGAAGGAAAACTAGAAAAGGAAAAGAAAGGAAAGGAAGAAATAATTTCATGCTCCTCTCTCTCTCGGCTTTCCGACATAATCCGTCCCCGAACGAGATACAAATGTAGAAGAAACTGTGTACTACTACGCATATATATGGATCTACTAAGTTTAGACGTACGATCGAGTATTAAAAAAAAATGATGGATTATATGCGATTAGGAGTAGAATAATTTCCTAAACGGTAGTGCTGCGCGCGAAGGAGGGGGAGAAGGGGGAGGGGAAGCTACCGAATGCATAGGAAAAGGAGGAGGACGCGAGGACGATGATTTCTCTCTCCCTTTGGCATTACCCGCCCGCTCTACATCCCGAAGAAGCTTGTTATCCGCAAAGCGTGTAATGCAAGCGAGCGAGCAAGTAAAGCAAGCAACGGTCCTTGCCTCAGGTACACACACATGCAACACACACCAACACATATACAAAATAGACAAATATCTGCGAAACCGCTATGCACGGTCGCGGTACACCTTCACGGCGACAAAACGAAGGAAGACATAGAATTCACAATTTTGCCAGCGTTCACGGTAGCGGGGAGGAAGTTAGCGCCGTGACACGCCGAAGAATATGGATATATTATCTTAAATGGTTTTACGTGTATTAAAGCGATTGTAAATATATATATTAGATACACCTTATAATAAACATAATTTAACATAATGTTCCGGCTATCTTGTGTTTGCCGCATAATCCAAACAGCATAAACTTCCAGAGGATATTCTTTCGACGTCTTTAGGATGTTCCTCGGAGGTCTATACTGTCTGGGAAATTATCGAGAAAAACGTATTGGTTTGAGCAGATTATGTTATTAATTGTTCACGCATGAAGATTAAAAGCTTCAAAGGAATCTCGTAATAGCAATCGTTTGTAAATAAATGATACGTTGAAAGTAACATTGTGCTTAAAGAGACAGCATTCTTTAATATTAATTTCCGCGCTAAACGAATAAGTGAACTTAATGTGAACTTTTTCTCAAGAATCTTCTTCATGTACGCAACAGTCTTGTGTCCTCCTTTGATATATTTAGTAGTCGCAAAGGGAGAAGAAGAGAGAAGAGAAGAGCAGATTGCATTTCTTAAATATTATAATTATTTGAATGCTTAAAGACCTTTGCACGTCAAAAAGTCTTAATCGTAACCGTAATTCCGTAAATTTCCAACACATATAATCAAATACAGCAACGCAAGTGAAAATTCGTAATCGTAAGGCTGTATATGAATGTTCACTTGCGTTGCTCTATCTGATTGTGTTGGAAATTTACGGAATTACGGTTACGGTTAACGCTTTTTTACGTGCAAAGGCGTTAAGGCTCTGTGCGGAAATCATAGTGGAGACCTCTTGCAGAGAGCCGCGAGATATCCAAAAGCATTTAACTTAACCTAACCTTCCTGCTATTGCATCCGCGCGAGCAATGAATTACAGTTAATGCACAAGCACATCCGTAACATGTTACGTTACGTTAAGTACTGACAATACAGTGGCCATACTTGTACGTAAAATTAAACATAAGTCAACGCACAAAGAAATCCGTAAACTTAACATGTACGGATGTTCTTATGCGGAGGCTCTTAAGCTAATATTACATGTGTCGTACGACAAGCTTGTCGGACGTTCTAATTGGCTGTCGGATAGAGAATTCTGGAGTAAAAGTTAGAGACCTTAGGAGAATTTTATCTATCAGCAATTATTGGTTCTTATTGTTAGATCTCTAAATCTAAACCAATTACATTGACGAATTGCTCGATAGTTGCACAACAGTTAAGCAATTTGTGTAGATTTAGGGATTTAACAGTAGGTACTAATAATCGTTGATTGCTCAATGTATCTTTTCAGAGATCAGAATCTCGAGACCGAGCATATCTTTAGGTTTGTTTTTCGTTCTTGCACTGCTGAACTGGTGCAATAAGTTAGAACGAGAAAAAATATACTTGTCTCCCTCTAAATTATTGCACCAGTTCAACAGTGCAGGGACAAAAAACAGACCCTTTAATTGTCGTGATCATTATCGGCGGTAATATATCGTACGCAGATAGCACGCATCTTCAAAAGACGTCTTGTGGACGTTCTGAGGCATCCTTATATCCTCAGGACGTCTCCAAAACGTCTCTGAAAGGTCTGTGTTGTTTGGGTAGATGAGTTCCCTAATAGCACAGATGTCCAGGGGACATCCTGCGAACGTCCTGAGGACATTCTTCGTCCTCAGGACGTCCTTAGGACGTCCTCAGAAGATCTTGTGCTGTCTGGGTTGTTTAGGTAGATTCGATCCAAGAAATATATATTGGCAGCTTTCTTTTACCATGTTTTTGTATTAGAAGCTTAATAACATTTTTCTTCGGCACTTGCGAAGCAATAAAAATATTGAATATTTTATATGAGAACGGATTGAACGAGTTAGAAAATTCAATATTATTTCAATATACTTTTCGCTTTGTTTCACGAGTAGTAAGACTATCATTTTTTCAAAATTAATACTATGACTATGGCTGTATATCGTATTGCCACTAGCAATTATTATACGACATTAAAAACGGGTTCAGCTTAAGATTTTCTTCGGAATCTTCGGAAAAAAAAGAAATATCTCAGGATCAATATTCTTGAAATTTTTGTGTATACGTATATAATTTTTTTTGCACAAATATCATATCATAAAATAACTGTGTAGCGAAACTTGTATATACGCAAAGAATTTCAAGGATATAGATTCTGGACATCGTCGGGAAATATTTCGGAAGGTGGGAATCAAAGTTATTAAGACAAAATTAACGCGAACAAAATATATTTGTGATATGATCCTGAATCTCTTTAAAAAAAAAACATGAAATGTGTTTTCTTTAGAGTTTGATAGATGGTTGTATCTTTTTTTTTGACAACTGGCACGAATCAAAACACTTCGAAGCTGCGCTCTTTAACCTAAATTTCAAACGCGAATCACATCGAGAAGAAAGAATTTAATTTACTGAATTGTGAAATTATAATTATGACGTGACACATCGCAATTATGAATTCCTGGTTTTTTCATTCCCTTAAAGCATTTTAATTGGTGGTTTATAATAATGATCGATTTAATAATATTTTTTCATTTAGGAGTATGTAAATATAACAATTGTATAGAGAGAGAACTGTCAATGCACATACAGAGTTTTTAGATCATTGTTGAAATATATAATAAAATTTGTTGAAATATATTTTGTTTATAACACAAGGTAGAAAGATAAAGTAACAGTCATCGCAATGTTTACATGGACAGGTGATGGTGCATCAATATTCTACAACTTTCTATAAAATATTATTACAAAAGTATTTTCTATGAATTGCTGTACATATTGTTTTCTACATACTTATAGCCACATGATTTAACTTTTTGATACTTATGTATATTAAAAATTGTGATTTATATAATTTAAATTATATATATGTATATAAATTCTGAATACTATAAACTAGCATATCTTTTGCAGTATTATTTGTGATCATTAGCAACATATTGACAACATCTCTTGAAGATATGTCATTGAGTAAAGAACAAGATGTTTTTGCAAATGTATTTGCTGCATGTGGCAGCTTTACAAATACACTGTATAAGGTATGTGATTGATATTCTGACTTCTATGCAAGTTTAACATTTTTTAATCTATAATGTATATTCTGTCATAGAGTTTACCAATGACTGATGGCAATGTTATAACTTCCCCGTTAAGCTTACATATGATATTGTCTCTGCTTGTCAATGGAGCTGATGGGACTACATTGGATGAATTGATGTCTGTTCTTCATCATAAAGATACATCTTCTGTGAACAATGAGTTTAAAGCCCTAATTCCTTTGTTGAATGTAAGAAACAAAATCAAATTCATCATTCTTGATATTTTTGAGAAACATGAATATGTATATATTTTAGAACATTGAAAACCTTGAGCTGCACATAGCAAACACAGCATATATTCAAGATAATTTCGAATTAGTGGCTGACTTTTTATCAATATGTACAAATGTCTTTGAATCCTCAATTTCAAGAGTGAACTTCAAGGATACTATACATGCCGCAGAAACTATCAATTCTTGGGTCGAAGAAGCAACGAATAAAAAGATATCAGATGTAATCTCTGCAGGTACAATGCTTGTCTAATTAGCGATTTGTACAGTAGAGTTGCTCAAATGTCTTTAAGATAACTACATATTTTGAATAGATGATATTGATGATGACACAAGAGTAGTGTTGGTAAATGCTATTTACTTTAAAAGTAAATGGCAGAAACCATTCGATCCGACGCTGACACAAAATCGCAAATTTCACATTTCCAAATCAGAAGCAAATCTTGTCCCGATGATGTTCCAGAAGTCAAGATATGTTATTGGCAAGATACAAGCTTGGCACACGAAATTTATCCAAATCCCGTACTTGGTAAGTGATAATCACGTATTTGGACAACTGAAAACTGAAACATTGAGCTTAAAAACGGTCAATGTTACAGAATAAAGATATCGTGATGACAATATTGTTACCTGATAAAGATGTGGAGCTGCAGAGCTTAGAGAATAATTTTGAATGGAAGACATTAGCGGAGGCACCCAGTTCTATTGAAGATGTCGAATTGTATCTACCAAAATTTAAATTCGAGCTTACCTTGAAACTGGAAGAACCTCTACGCAAGGTGCACGATCTGAAGAATAAACTATTGGCATGAAAATGTTTGATTATGATTGATGAAATTAAATTAAATGTTAAATGTTAAATATTATATACATAGGTTGGTTTGAAGACGATGTTTGAAAAGAGCGCGGACTTTGGACGTCTATCAAAAATTCCTTTAAAAGTGGGTAATGTGCTGCAGAAGGTCTTCATAGAAGTTAATGAGGAAGGCTCGGAGGCCGCTGCTGCAACAGGTAAGTTTGTAATTTATACAAAACTTCTCTAAGATAATATTATAACTGCTACAGTTTAACAAAATATTATTTATTATAGTTGTACAGATAAGGATGAAAAGGATGGTGCTTGTAACGGAGGAATTTGTAGTAGATCATCCATTCATGTTCGCTATCCAGCATCAGCCAAGTAAAATGCCTTTGTTTTTGGGAAGTGTACGAAAGATAGAATCTTCTCAAGAGAAAGATGAACTATAAATTTTATTTTTCTAATTTGGTCACAATTTGTAAAAAATTCTGAGGAATAAATAATATAAACTATTTGCTAATCAACATGTTTATGGCTATGAATCAATGTTTGGAGTCGTGCCATTTAAAAATAAAAAAGTCTTTGTTCTTTATATGTACATAAAAATGATGGTTATAAAATGCTTCTTAAATCATATTTATATATCTATGCAATATATATATAATATATCTATGCAATATATATATAATATATCTATGCATTTTGTGTGCTCTTATGAGCATTTTACAATAAGACAATGGCTGCGTTCAGCAGAGAACGCTGCTTTGCAACTGTTGTAAAATTCGTGAATCTAATTGGTATATGCTCTTGGATTCAACCAAAATTAAGAACATACTCCAATCAGATTCACGAATTTTACAACAGTTGCAAAGCAGCTTTTTCTGCTGAACGTAGCCATAGGCCCACATTCTTAATCCTCTTTTATCTATAAAAGTGCCTCTAAAAGAGGCTTGAGCTACCTGAGAAGCTACATTTAAAGCACTTTTATCGATAAAAAAGAATTCATAGGCCAGAATATAGGCCTATGACCGGTATTCATAGGCTGCGTTCCGAAATTCACTGCCAGTACTGAAATTCTATAATATACGTTACATAAACTATAGATTTTCAGTACTGGCAGTGCATTTCGGAACGCAGCTATAGTCGGATCTTATAGCGAATTCGGTAGCTAACACTAGTGCGCACTGAGTGCGCGTTAAGGTTTGTTTACAGTACATTCTTATATTTAAGATCGTGTCTTAAATACATATTTAAAAACATTTTAGCTAATAAAATGATTTGTATGGATGTTGTACATATCATATTATGATTAAATATAATAACATACTATGAACAAGCCTTAGTGCACACTAGTGCAAGCAACCGAATTCGCTATTATAGGCCTGTTTTTTATAGTTGCACTGCTGAACTGGTGCAATATATTAAAGTGAGACAAATATACGTTTTCTCACTCTAACTTATTGCACTAGTTCAGCAGTGCAGCTATAAAGAACAGGCCTTATATTTAAGACAATCTTAAGATTATCTTCAGGTGATGTACGGATTATTTCATTGACTACGGAGTATCTAAAGATGAACTTAAGCAGCATTAAATACAAGACCCGACTATGAATACCGGCCTATGTCCATGAGTTCGCTGAACGCACCCATTATCTTTCATGAAGATGCCAGACGATGCAGCTCCACGATTGGCCATTCGTATTTCGAAATTCAACGGACTCAGCATCGATCAGAGCTCAAGTAATAAGACATTAAAAAGTATTTTACACTACAAATTATTTGATTCTAAGAATATCACGTTCATAATGTTGTTGTCGTTTATCGCCATGATGTAAGAAATAAAATGAAAAGTATCAGTCTTTCAATTAAAGGCTTTTAATTCCTAACTACGGCTATCTCGATTGATGACGCTAGAAACTTTTCGCAAAGTGCATTCAAGTTAGAAGATATGTCCATAAAATAACGCAATTGATCGAATAAATTTATTAAGTATTCCGCAGAACTTTTCTTTTGCTCAATAAATAACTGAAAATTAACATATCGTGTTATTAAGTAGGCAGTATATCGTGTTAATTGAATGGCTATTTATCAATTATTAGAGCAAAGGGAAAATTTCGCAGAATATTGTACAAATCTGCTCAATCGGTCGCGAGTGTTACTTTGTGCAGGCATCGTTTTATTTCAACATATTTTGCGAGAATTCGGAGTACGAATTTTCTCGTTTCGATGTTATAAATCAAGATGGTCGCGAGAGGGGAACAGGAGCCATAATGGCCAAATTTCGTACTTCCTTGTGTTGCCGCCATCAAAGATGGTGAACACTGGCGAACACCAAGCGGGAGTATTGTTGCGCGACAAACACGTTGAGGTCGTTCGCGGTGACAGAGTGTCGTCAGAAAATTTCCACGGTTCAATGTTCCTCGCTTTGCCCGAATTGTCTCTCATGTATTTGTCCGGATAAGTGCAATTCAATGTTCAAGTACCCAATTTGTGATTCGTTCAATTCATCATCGACATATAACCGTTACATGTGCGCGTTTAGATCCTCTGTTTCGTCTAGTGGACGTACGTTTTAGTGGAAAATAATCGCACCACGAGTATCATGGCGGGTTTGTTACACAAGGATGAGTACGAATCATGTGAGTGAATAATTTCATTCTTGTAACAAAACAGATATTCCAGAATGCGATTCTGCGACTCGTTAACGTTGCACAGGTATAATATATGTCAGAAAAGACGCGCAACGACACAGTGCTAGTGATATTGTCGTTAACAACAGTTAATGAGTTACAGGATCGCATTGTTTGCACCTTATCGCGTAGTTGTGAGAAGTATGTTTACTTCAATCGCGTTATCTTTGTGTGTCTGATTTCTATCTTAAAACAAACTTTTAGTTTAGCAAAGACTGAAAATTACATTCAGCAGAGCAAGCTGTTTTGCAATTGGTACAAAATTTGTGAATCTGATTAGTATAGGTCTTTGAATTCATATTGAAAGTGTACACTAATCAGACTCACAAATTTTACAATAGTTATAAAGTAGCTTTCTTTACTGAACATCGCAGTTGTATATTGTGTGTTTACCTTGGGTTTATTGTGTATCTGTTATTCCATGAAAACAGCAAGCTTGACGATGCATACTGGAAGCAGTAGTATAAGCTCAGACAGCGACATGAAGTTGGAGCCATCCAGTCCTACAGAGAAGTACACTTTCTCTCGTTGTGGCAGTACAGGCTCAGTCAACACACCGTCTTCCTCTGCTCATAATACAGGTAAGACCAATTTTCATGTATTGATCATCTAAACGATAACTGCTATGTGTGATGTTTAGAGGATGAGGATAGCGATAATAAAAACTCAACCATAAGCTACAAGGAGCGTAGGAGGGAAGCTCACACTCAAGCTGAGCAGAAGAGGCGGGATGCTATTAAGAAGGGCTACGATTCCCTGCAGGATTTGTTGCCGTCTAACCAGCGTAATGATTCCTCAGGCTATAAGATCTCCAAGGCTACTGTACTTCAGAAGTCCATCGATTACATACAGTATATGTTGCAACACAAGAAGAGGCAGGAGGAAAAACGGAAGTCACTGAGGAAGGACGTCGTTGGTCTGGGTATCATGTTGGCGAATTACGAGCAAATTGTTAAGGCGCATCAAACGCAGCCGAGCCACGCGGAAATGCGGATCTCAGATGAGATGAAGTTTCAAGTGGTAATTATATCTGGCGTCTATGTTTTCTCTTCTCAATGTTGCGGCAATTAATTAATTTGTAATGTTGTATTGCAGTTCCAGGCAATAATGGAACGACTCTTCCATTCGTTTAACGACATTTCTGTAGCCAATTTCGGAGAATTATCCGCTTACGTGTTCAGCTGGTTGGAAGAGCACTGTAAACCGCAGGTAAAGACTTTTTCGATTCTTTAATTCTTTTTTCCGATTCTTTGATTTAATATAAAAGGGGATATCAGGAAATATTCTTTTGTCTGGCATAGCAATATTGTATAAATTTATGTCTAATAATGTTGAACATTACAAATATCTGAGAAGAAAGTTAAAGTTAAGTTAAAGTTAAGTTGAATTTGAAACTACTTAAAGAGTATTACCTGTTGTTTTGTACCCCTGAGATTAATTTGTTAAAATTTCTTGAATGTTGAACAACAAAGGCTTTTTTTGATTGAGTTTTAGTTGTAGCAAAGAAATAATTATTTTTAAATTTAGCAGCAAATATAATTGTATTATATACGTCAATTTTTACGCTTACACTTTATGAAATATTATATCCAGTGGATTACAAACTAGTAAACATATTTATTATAACTATTTCCTCAGACTCTACGCGATGTAGTAATTTCCGTGCTACAACAGCTCAACACCAGTCAAATCAGCTAGTCGATTGCATCTGTGAACGAGATACAATATGTCGCACAATATGTTACCCTAAAGGGTATATCAAATCTATATACTTTCGTAAAGAATATATGGCGTGTTCCATATAAAAAGAAGAAGCGATGCCAAGATTATAAATCAGAGCATACGTTCGTTTTTCCTTTTTTTATCTATAATTGTTAGCACAACTTCAGAGGGGGAGGACGCGAGAGATAAATCCGAGATAAAGATCCAAGAATCCAAGTCGGAAAACTCGAAGTGAGAAACGTCGATGATTCTCTCGCTGTGTATGTTCTGTGGTTTAGGTGGAAACGTAAGCTTTAGCGAGACATTATCGGGATTATATCGTGTCGAGTGTGGAACATATGTGATAGTTGTTTTATCATAATGTTGGCATCGTGCATTGTTCGTTACGCAAACGCCGCTTGTGCGTCCTGTAATATCTAATACATACAGAACACTACCATAGCTGCGAACTCTGGTCAGATTGGAATCGAGTTTTCTTCGGCGGAATTTTGATTGATTGCCAATCGCCTGTCGCAACTCTTTTTGCATAATTTCACTATAAATATCTCTATAATATTTCTCTGAATTTAGATATCTTCCAAGTCACAGTTTCCCATGGAATTGAACGAGGAACAAAGTTTCCTATGTCTATTCGTACTTCTTGCAATTCGCAACAATTCCGAAATTTCCAGACGCAACATGTAATGCATTTTCGGCGGCGGTGGGTTGAGACACCCTGTGTACAGTCGGATCTTTATGATCGACTCAGCAGATATTTAGATCAATCATAGACGAAGTTACCAGAGAAGAGATACATGCACGTCGCGTGCGTTACGGGTATGTAATGACTGCATGGGGAATACAAATGAAAGTTTATTTTATATACAGCTGCGAAAAGTAAAGAGAAAGGAAGAGAGATTAAATACATTGGTACTGCCAACGCGCGGCGTAGGGATCTCCTCGGGTCGCCATCGGCGACGCCGATACCGATGTTGAATATTTTTGTCAGATCTTTTATTACGCATACGTCGCGTCAACAAACGACGGTGTACAGTGTGTATGTATATGTGTAGAGAGATGTATCTGATTATGTACATAACAGATTTGTATAACATATATTTACAATGAACAAATGTGTACGATTAAGCTCATATATATCTTCAACGTTGTATCCCATGTTATGATCGATATTTCTTTTGGCAATTTCCATTAGGAATATCCCAGTTCTCTTCTTCTCCTGAATATCCTCTTCATCTACTCTATTCTGTTTCAACTTATTCTTATTTTACACTGTGTAGCATAGGATGCGCATTGCTTTAGCGATCAGGATTATTATTGCGTCGTAAAGAAAGAAAGAGTTCGTTTAAACCTTCTCAGATTCCGTCGGCATACTCTCTCCTTGCGTGAGGTCGTTCAACGGTATCGCGTCTGATTTTCCTTGATTAGGATTGTCGTACTCCCGTTGTTGATTCTGCTGACGCCGTCGTTTGAACCTGTCCTCTGGCCGGCAGCACAAATCCCGGAAAATGCACACGTAGCAGGTCAGCAGCGCGGTTATCATCATCAAACCGCCGATCGCGAGAATGACGACCAGCATAATGGAAATTACGTCGTCCATCTTATCACGCTGCTCCAACGCTGGGCGGATACTGTAACGAAAATTGGTTTGATTAATAAATATTATCTCTAAATTAATATTGTCTGGTTAATAAATATTGTTTGGAAGTTTTCAAAGAAACATTTTTCCGGTTTTATCGAGAACTCAAGTTAGGCGGAGAGCAATGATGTTTGTGTTTTAATTATTGTGAAATATTTGTTCTTTAATTTTATTTTATCCGTTGAACAAGGCATATTTCCAAGTTTATGGATTTTACGGTGTAAAAGTAATATCTAACTTTGTTCTAATATAATATTCTTTTGTCTTTTTTTAACAGCTAAATAAAACTTGGCCGAATGCAGTATTGTTACTCTTGATATGTGCGCTTTTCAGATAATGAAATTTGTTGAAACTTAAGAGATTTATATATTTCTGTTGACTGAGTGATGTTCAATTCTTTTAAGAATGTTCATACATATTTATTCAAATTATTTAAATTTTTTAACACGCGTTTTAATTTCTTTTTGTAGCATTTTTCGACTCCACATCCTTAACAACTGCGAAAGCAATTCCTTGACCTTCCCTGATGTCTAGGATCTATAGCTTAAAATAAATGGACTGATAAGGAGGAGAGATTCGACTCGAATAAATTATTTTCGTCATTATAAAGAACATATTCTGGTCTCGTTGTGTCTCGCGTTAAAGCAGGTGGGAATTGGCTTTTAGATTCACCGTACGAATACTATCGGATAATCCGATTTATTCGTTACGGATCACGTACTCAAAAGCTCACTCGCGACGATAATGGAGATCTTGAGTGCGGACAGGTGGGAACGCGCGACACAGAGAAAGAAGAGTCGCGTCAATTTTGTGTTTAATGAGATTACTATTTTCGCGAAAAGTCGTGTCACGCGCGTGGCATGCAACAGAATTAAATTAATTATAGATGACGACCGACCAGAAAATTCAACAGTGCTTTTATTTAACATAGCTACGAGTCGAGGCGATTATTTGTCGGAATTGTCGGAGCTTAATAATTAATTATCGTTTCTACGCCGTTCCCTCGACACTTTTATTCCGTTATTAATTTTAAACAGAACATTTTTCGCGTAAAAGCACCGTTGCTCAATTTCTCCATTAATATGTAAATAAAAGAGCGCAACGAGTGTCGAGTTCTTCGATGAAGAAACATTGAAAAACGTAACACACTATTTTGTTCTACATTTTCCATATATATTTTTCTCTTTTTTTGCATGCAGAATCATCTACTCTTCTTCCTCATTCCTTCCATCAGTCATTGCGAGATATCCTGTGTCTGCGGTTCGATTCCCGCACACGTTAAATCATCGGCAGATTGATCACGACCGCCGAAGTTTTTACTTCTTTTGGTAACACGTCGCGGAAGTGAATACGAGCGAGAAATAGGATGGCTGACGACGAAAATCGAGCAAAAGGGGCGAGAGTAATTCCATCGCTCATCTTTGCTCGCTGCGACGCGCTCACATCGCCTCCTCTTTTTTATGCGAACGTGACATCTCGTAAAGTACAAGATATCTCCGCTCGATCAAGCGATTATCTGCGTCTCCACTCGCGGCGGCTTTCAGTCTGGATACATTCCCCGTCTGCCGTCCCGTTCCTGCCATTCCTGATGGGGAAACGTCGAGATGCGCCGAAGCAGAAAGCAAGGTAATCGACAAAACAACATTTTAATTCAAGCGAATGCCGGGGGATACTAATTTAGTTTCGCTACGTTCTTACACTGAAGCGAAGCTCTTAATCCCTTCGGAGAGAACGCGATACGTTTGCATACATTTATATTATTTCAAAGAGGTGCACGCTAGTTACCGTATAACGAAACAAGAGCTTAAATTATTCTACTCGGTCGCATTCTAAAACATCTTTTTTGAGAAAGATTTTTACTGAAAATCTATAGTTCACGTTTCATATACTATGAACTTTCAATAAAATTTTCCTCAAAAAGGATATTTTGGAATGCGATCTCAAGGTATATCCTTCAACGATAGCATATCGTCAATCTACTGATTCTAATTTTTGAGGAAATTGGAATACTCATTTCATTTGATTTATATATCTCGTCGATTGAAATTCGCTTCAATATATAGTACATTCATACTCACATAAGAGAGTTGAATTTATTTGTTTATGAAGCAAAAATTTTGACTTGCTCTGTTTCATGTTGCATTAAAAAATTTTTCAATACAGAAAAGAGATCCAAGAAAAACTGACTTCGAATTGTAGCTGTCAGATTCGACTATTGTTGTTTGGCCGCCCACTGAAGGGTTGGCTGCATCGTATAGGGATTTCCGCGTATCTGTCGATCTCGCGCGTATTTCGAGTGCTATTGGTTTTATTCGGCGCGCACTGTCCCGTTCATCGCTCCGCTGTGCTCTCGAACAAATAGAGAATTGTGACAGTTTGTCGTCACGTCGATAACACGCGCGCGTTTCCTACCGCTTTACACGACTTCCGAATTAGTTCAGCGTCACATGTCACACATCGGTTTCTCACCTCTGTGACGTCGCTTGTGCGAAAATTAACGAAGGTTCGTGCAACACACAGGGCGAGAGCGGACAGTTACGAAACGCGTGCGCGTGTGTCGATGGTCGCGCGCTTTTTTTTTTATTGACCTAGTAACCTTTAGTAAGAGTGGGGAAAGACTCATCAAGGACTGGCGACGTCTTTAAGCAGTTTTCATCAACCGCTCTCCTACAAAAACAAGCATGTAGAGCCGCAGTTAGGCTGATAAAAGCGTTTTCGTATTCCCGGCTTGTAGGAGTGTTTTTAGAAGCGTGGAGGATCAACATTCACATTGTGCCAGGCAGTATTCTCTGTGTAGGGTACGTCACGTTTACGAGGGCTTCCGACCCGTCATCCCTTCATATGAGTCCTTCACCTCCCTCGCTGAAGCCGCTGAATTTCCCCATAAATATCGACCTCCTCCAAAGGCAATAAAAGCGACCTCACGTAGCACGTGGAGTACGTTCCCTCCGTCGTTCACGTGACTGAGAGTTGCTTTACATCCTCTCTGGCAATAATTTATATACGTAGAAATACTGATTTCCTCCGAATCGAAAACAATATCTAACTGGCATAAATATTTTACGAGATCCACGTCGCCACGTCGCGCCCTTTATGCGCGATATGAACGTACACACGCAAGACACACGGCGTATCTAATACATAATGAATGAAACGAAACGCGAGTGTGTATAATAGATACTAAGAGAGAGAAAGAGAGAAACAGAAGGAAGAGAGAAGAGGAGGGAGGAAGAAAAAGAGAGAGTCGAATAGTACGAAAGAAGATAATAAAAGTAATCTAGCGTGGAGGAAAATTGTGTGAATCTCAATCGCAGTCAGATGGGTCAGTCGAGACGCAAAGATAAAAAAAAATTCAACAATCATTTGTAGTCGTACTCGTGTATGTATATCGATAATAATAAATCAGCAGAAAGAAGATTGGAGTAATGGCACATTTTCTGAATGTGCGGATACAAAAAATGTGGAACGCTTCACGATTTTGCGTGTCATCCTTGCGCAGGGGCCATGCTAATCTTCTCTGTATCGTTCCAATTTTAGTATATGTACTGCCGAAGCAAGTACGATAGTCTTTTCCAACGAAATTCCTTATATACCAAGCAACGCGCACGAGTGTGCTATCGAGTGAGCTCACTCAGGCAATGCGCCAGCTAGTGGTAAACACGTGCATTTTTGCATGGCTGACAGTAGTACGAACATAAAATTAGGTTTACATGTAACACACACACACACATACACATACATATCCGCTAGAAGTTTCCATCTCCCAAGCTTTCGTTTCATTATGTTTTTTTTTTTTATTATTCCACTTTGTCTTCTTTTTCTCGAATACTATTCGCTTCATAGTGTTGTTCTGTTATCTTCTTTTATTATTATCTCGTCGATATTTTCCAGTAGCGTTTGCGAGAAAATATTTTGTGTTTACGTTTATGTCGATACTATCCTCGCGACCCTTGCAAGATGAGAGGCGACGTTGTACGATAAATATCAGATGTAAAGCTATCAATAGACATCCTCGGGATATTTTCCGCGATTTTATGTTGTATTCACAGATACTCCTACCTGCCGTGCCGTTACTCCTGTTTCTTTCAGTCACGCTATTTTTATCTACCGCGGAGAATTGATGATATTGGAGAAAATTGCTATATAGAACGCGTTACTCTAGCTTGTAATAGCTTCAATTAACACCGGCACAATGCAAGTACTTAGCTGCTCTTAATGCTCTTGGCATTGAAAATGAGCCACGCTCGAGATAAGCGAGCAAACGACCTTCGACGTAATTTCTACACTGAGGGGAAAGATATCTAAAGAATAAAAATATTCGGTGGGCATTGTATATTTATATACACACTAATTCCTTAATCAGTAGCCTTAAGTAAATAAATATTATTAGTATCCATCGAATAAATATTTTTAAAATTTTTAGATATTTTTTCTCTCAGTGTATCCGAGGAAGTTTTAGCTACCTTTTAGACAATAACAATGACACATATAAATATAGATATAAACATAGATAAAAATCTTAAAAATGATTTATGTTTATATTTATAAAAAGTTTATCTCAACTAGCGATCATCGAATTATTTTCCTCTCACCTACGTGCTACAGTGATATCGGAGGGCTTCCGTTTTTCTTCATCCCCTTTCAGTACGACTCATGGACGCGGAATGTCCGATTCGCGCGCGTCATCAAGCTTCGCCTTGCTCTCGTTCACTCTGGCAAATTGAATGCCGTCGTATTTCTGTTGTCCGACATCTCAAAGCGTCGTGTTAAGCCCACATCAATCCGTCGGCGCGGCAATCAATTCCATTTTAATGCCACTTTTTGAAGCTGTCTTCATGTCGAAATAACCCATTCACGGAGTAGATTCATGAGAGAGGAGAGGAACTCGATGTAGTATCAGAAAGGAGTGTCTCTCAGATTCTCACGAACTTCATTTAATTTACTTGGACGCTTCTTGCCGCGATCACTCAACGTCCTTGTTAATTGCGACACTTAGGCAAGTCTCTCCTCGAGTCTTTCCCTTCACGATCTTCGCGCGCACTAATTGCAAAGTGAAATGACATAACTTTCCAATTTGGAACGAAGTTTAGAAACTCCGGTGTATTAAACTTGCGCGGTTTGATGTTTGCACAACAATTAAGTTCTATAAGTTATCCCGTCAGTAGAGTTGCGCCCATCATGTCGTTGATGTATCACCGCGAATCGCCGATTGTTGCTTAACGATAAACGCAACGGAGAAAAGGAGAGTCTCGCAGTATTTCGTTGCTTGCAACGCGAGAGTCGCGTGCGAACTGTGATAGAGAGCGGCTCATCGTGGTGCGCATCCTCACGAAGTACCGCTGTCCTCCTACCCTTCTTTCCTTCTATCGTCCTTCCACCCATTCCTACGCAATGTGTAGGGATCTTTGACGGAAGGAATTGTTCGTGACGCGAGAAATGTTTAAAGCGTCCTTTCTGGTCTCTCGCTACACTCGATATAAATCAATCGTATTCGGGTAGTTGCTCTCTCATTGCAAATGTTCTAAGGAAGTACGTCACTCTTTTTCATCTCAGTTTCCCCATATGTTGTTTTAACCGTTTCTCTTAAAAGCAAAATCGTGTAATTTTTTTAACGCAGAAAATAGCAAATTCGGTAGAAAGTAAATTTTCTTTGTCTAAAATATGATAAATGGCATGTACACTGAAAGATAAAACATATTTTTACTTAAATCTACATTTAAATCTTACATTTTCTCATTTAAGTAGAATAAACGATTATGTTTCCAAGAAATTACTCTCTTAAAGTGCATCAGTAAATATATTGGGAGTACAAATTAGTTCGATCCGTTTTTTTGTGGTCAAAAATGCATTTATTTCAGAACAAAATGAATTAACAGATTAATCAAAGTATTGTCCATCGCTGGCTACTACTTTTTCCCACCTCTCAGGCAATTTTCGAATTCCATCTCGAAAAAATGTCTCGTCTTTTGAGGCGATCCAAGTTAGGAGCCAATTTTCGATTTCTGCGAAAGAAGTGAACCGGTGACCTGCCAAATCGTGCTGCATCCGTCGGAACAACCAGTAATCAGAAGGAGCAATGTCCGGCGAATACGGCGGGTGCGGTAAAATATCCCACTTGAGCGTTCCCAAATAATTTTTTACGACTTTTGCGACATGAGGCCGAGCGTTATCATGCAGAAGAATAACTTTGTTATGTCTTTGCTCGTATTTCGGCCGTTTTTCTCGTAATGCACGGCTTAAACGAATCAATGAAGCGTAACTCCCAATGATTCTGCAACCTCCTCTTGCGTTTGACTCGGATCTTCATCGAGTAATGCCTCCAATTCTTTGTCTTCGAATTTTTTTGGCTGTCCAGAGCGAGGCTTGTCTTCAACGCTGAAATCATCATTCTTGAAACGTCGAAACCATTCCCTACATGATTTATCAGTTGGAGCATTGTCACCATAAACTTCTACAAGCATTCGATGCGCTTCAGCTGTACTTTTCTTCCAATTAAAGCAGAAAACTAAAACCTCCCGCAAATGTTGCTGTAGTTAACACAAAATTTGACATATTCAACATAGTAAAAAACAGAGGTTTTGTATGAAACTCAAAGCGATATAAACTGAATATTATTGATAGATGTCTAACCTCTCTGAAATCACCGAAATCAGCTGTCACTATGAAACATTCATAACAGCCAGAGCCATTTTTTGAAAATGGACCGAATTAATTTGTACTCCCAATATTATATCAGTAATATATCAGTAAATATATTATATCAGTAATATATCAGTAAATATATATTTCTGATTGAATCAGTAAAAGGACTTATCCACAATAATCAGTGAATATATACTGGTTTTCAATAAAATTCCATTTTACTGCTTCATCTTATTTCTCACTGACTTCCAGTGGAAATAAGATTTTCCTGCAAAATCTGTAATGGATAAATCTGTCATGCGTTATACACTTGGGGAAAATGAAGTCTGGAATACAACTTGCTGGACCGCAGGGGACGTTATCTCCTTCTATTTCCCTTTCAATTGGAAACGATTGCCGACGTAATCAATTTATTTGTCGCCGCTGCGAGCGTTTCCCCGTTCGGAGTTTTCGATTAACTGCCATGTGAAAACTTTCGGATTAGTTTTCCCCACAACGCGATAACATTGTTGCTCGCTCCACTCGGCACGCAATCGAAGCGATTTCTCTTTTCTCTCTCTCTTTCTCTCTCTCTCTCTCTCTCTCTCTCTTTTTTAATCCTTTGGGGTTTCTTCGCGCGGGATATCGTTTGTCACTCGCTCAATGAGGCGTGTCTCTTCTTCTCCTGTTCCCTGCAATTTCCAGCTGCGCTGGATTTCCAAATGCGACGAGACCGAGTCTCTCCTGGGTGGAATTTCCAGTTAAGTGTCTCCGAAAGTAGCAAGGCCGAGATTAGGATTTGGTCCACAGCGGCTGAGAATCCAGGCCGGGGGAAAAGGCGACAAAACGGTCTGCGATCTCTGAGTAACGACTTAGACTCCCACGTCGAAAATATATAAGGAAAATGAGAAAGACGTCGCGTAATTTGAAAGGTCGCGCAATTTAGGAGAGAAATAAGAGCAAGATTATAACGTCGCAATTTAGAGCAGACGTGCTGATCGGAGTCGGAAACTTGGGATCGGACGCGCGAAGATCGCGTCGACGAATGTCCGGCCGTCATTGTCTCGATTTACTTTGAATCTTCGCCAGCTGCGCGACTCGCACAGCCCTCTCTTTCTTTCATACATGCTTACCTTTTCGTATCACGTTAAAATACTCTCTAAATTTCTTGGAGTGGAGACTCACTCGAAAAGGAACGAAAAGTGGCAATAATTTTACTCGAGGCGATGGTGAAAATACTACCATGCAAAATCGCCAAAGTGAATGCTTTATTCTAAGCTTAGGGTGAATTTTGACTTCATATGAGCGAATGCTTCAATCAATTAGAGTAAGTATGTTCCTGTGACAATGCAACTCATCAGATTCACTCTTCAATTTTGGGTGAAAATATTCACTCAACGATTTAGAGTAGAAAATATCCATATGAATGAAGAATTACTCGAATTCGGATAACTCGATAGTCACTCTGCATTTCGAGTTGCAAATTTCACCCCAAGAAATTTTGAGAATTGCGGCGAATTTCGGTGGCATGTCACGTAAAAAAACTTAAAAAAACGGTGATGACTTAAGCGACACGGGATTATACGTCGCGAACAAGTGTCGCAAATTGCTGAACAAATATTAGAGCGTATTTATGCTCGCGAACAAGAACGAATAAACCGCGAACGCACGCCGCGCACATCGCGCTCACATAATACACTTCATCAGTTTGTGCTTGATGGAAGTGTGTAAAGGCGTCGCCATACGCGCATTGTCAGCCGCAAATTATTAACGAGGACCGCGGCGGACGTGTGGCGAATTTCGAGGATCGCCGTTTCGCAACGGGATCACGTAGAATACTTGCGCACGTCCCACGAGTAGAAAAGATGTCTTCTTCGGAGCTCTCTTCGTTTATTACAGGGAACCGAATAAATTCTCGCTTGCGACTCCCGTAGGTCGTGCCGAATCACAAGAGCTCGACGAACGTGCCGTTTCGATTCCGCGGAAGCTTTCCCCTCCGATAATGAGGAGAAAGAAAAACAGAAGGAGATGATGATGATGATGATGATGATTATGATGATGATGATGATGAAGAAGAAATAGATTCCCGAGTCCTTAGACGCTCGGCATCCGGAAATCGGACGCAAATTAAATTAACAACTGCTCGGCGCGTAGGAAATTACTTTCGCATAATAACGCGAATTATTAACTCGTGTCATCCCCCTCCTCCTCCATCTCTCGCTTTTCTCGTTTCGTCCGCTTCCGTTTTCTCCCCGCGATCTAGATGCAGCATGCGCGCGCGTTCCTACCGTCCTTTCGCACAGTAATATCTCGAGGTAAATCAAGCGACTCTTCGAGCAACGCCCGATCGAGCGCGGTCTGATTTGAGTGGCGTTATCTCCTCGATTGCAATAAAAATCCTCTCGTCGCTGCGTACAAATGAAATTGGAGTCGTGGAAAGAGGCTCTGCTCTTAGTTCTGATGACTCAACGTTTCTTATTTCCTAAGATTCATGCTATCGACTATTCCAACATATACTGTAGTAACTAAGTTGCTTCGCTGTTTACCGAGACGCTGTTTACCGAGACGCTGTGTATCGAGAGGGGGGGCGGGAGAGGGTTAAGAGATTAATTAAATCACAAGATACACGCCGAGGTATCCTTTAGGACGGGCTGAGAGCCTCTTTCAGGATATTGTTGAACTCTATCAGTTCCTTCCTCAATTTCTGCACATCCGTTTCCTCCACTTCCCTCTCGTGCTGCCGGAAGTAACGTTGTACTATTTGCGCCATAACTTCCGCGAAATAATCGTCCTTCTCTTCCTGTAGGTCCTCCTGTAAAACCAAACGAATTTAAATGTATTTACATTGTCTTCATCCATTCGTTAGAAACAATAGACACTTTTTAATAGGAACTAGGAGACACTTTTTCATCATGTTGCTTTGTAAATGCAAGATTCTACTTTGCATATTTTGCTGTTAAAGCTCCTGACTATTCGCTGCCATATTCGATCGTGATATTACTCTTTTAAAGGGATGCTGAAGCTGATAACTTTACCGACATTTTTCTGCAAAGTTTACGCCGTATTAGTTACACAGAATTACAAATGCAATGAAAGTATGTGCAAAAATAAATAGGAGTATTGTTTAATATATGACGAAAACGAACCAAAAATTTTTAATATAAAATCTCAAGCTGTCAGTTAGCGTAATATTTGCCTAATCCAAAATTTCCGCAGCTTGTACATATCGAAAATGTGCTCCAAACAGAAAAATTTTGAAGAACATTACTCTACCTTCGCATCTGCACTTGGAAGCTTAAGAATATCGAAAAAATTTGCAGAAAGATTTTTATTATATGGTTAGATTTTCCGTTGAATATAACAAAGCAACACACATTCATGTAAGTTCTGTATGTACAAGAAATATGAAAAGGATAGCGTGATTATGTTAGCAACGATCGTTTCTGCATTATCGACATTGTTCGAGTTTGTCATAGATTCCAGCGTCCCCTTAAGATATATTAATTAAAAAGTTAATTATGCAAAGACACACACACACACACACACACACACACATACACACACACACACACACACACACACACACACACACACGCACGCACGCACGCACGCAC